ACCTGTATCTTGTGAATGATGGCCTTCGTTGTTCTCCACGTCTCCGCCCTATACAGTAGAACTGTCTTGACATTTGTATTGAAAATACTGACTTTCTTATTGGTTGACAATGGTTTTGAGTTCCAGATGTTGTTCAGTTGTAAATATGATGTTCTTGCTTTGCTGATCCGCGTCTTCACATTTCGCAATAAGGTTTACTTTTAAAGTCTTTATCCAATCAACCAAAAAACACAGGAAGATTGAATACTAGGCAGCTTCACGAAAGCTAACTTAAAAAAATTTGAATAAAACTACTTACAGTCCATTTGTAAATGATTAGATTAATCTAAACAAGTATATGTTAAAGATAACCCATTTTGCGATCATAGTGTAGTAAGAAAGAACAATTGAAAGTATTTAAGCACAAATTACAAACTATCTCGCTAAAATCTGATAACCATACAGTAAATATTTAGTCAGTCAGTCACAACGTAGAACTTCGTACGTACGTACATCAGTTCGAGTTGCCATACCACATTAGCACAGAGATGCAGTTGTCGATTCAAATCCCATAGTGGTAGAAGTAGTAGGAGTATAATCAGAAATCCAAAAGATTAGGGTTTGAAGAAATTATTGAAGGAGTATAGTACAGTTAAATAAATTTGGAAAGAGAAAAAGATAAAGACATGAGGAATTCAGAAGATTAGAATTCGGTAGAACACAAAGAGTGGATGCACCTTCGCCATTGCAAACGATTTTGAGCCATGTCATTCAAGGTCTCTAACCATCGGTTGCTGTCATCACGCGAATCCCAACCAGGTAGTCTACACCTACCAACATGGCCCAGTCCACTTGTCAGTGACTTCATTGATTTGTGACACGTTTTGGTCTGGCCACCCCTAGCTTTCTTCCAACCTACTTCTACACCATGAAACATTGCACGTCAGGGCAGTCGGTGGTCGGGCATACGTAACACATGTCCCAGCCATCTCAACTGATGAAGTTTCACTACTTCATCAATCGATTTGCCATCCCTACCTAGTACTCGTTTCCTAACAACTGCATTACTTACCCGGTGGTCCCAGAATATACGAGCAATGCTTCGAAGACACCTATGATCGAACACTAGTAGCCTACGAATATCCTCTACTCTTAACGGTCATGTTTCACTGCCATAAAGTAGGACGGAGCGAACTACTGCACAGTAAACCCGTCCTTTGGTTGCTAGACGGATATCTCGCCTACGCCATAAATGACGCAAGTTGGCGAAAGCTAGACGAGCCTTCTGTATCCGTGCTGAGATTTCGTCACATACCAGACCACAAGGGCTGATGAGACTCCCAAGATAAGTGAAGTGGTCTACACGCTCAACTACTTCACTCCCTATCATTAGTTCAGGTGTCGCTGCAACCCAATCCTGAAGTAACATTTTGCACTTCGAGGGAGAGAATCGCATCCCGAACATGGCTGCATAGTTGCTTATAGTGGTCAGAAGACTCCGCATGTTGTCAGCGTCTTCACCGAGTAAAACTATGTCGTCGGCGTATTCTAAGTCAACAAGTTAGCCCCCTGGTAAAAGTTTAACTTCAGAAGATTGAGATGATGAAAGTGCTATATCTAAAAGTATGTCAATGACAAAGTTAAACAAGAATGGGGAGAGTGGACAGCCCTGACGAACGCCACTTGTGGTAATCAGTTCTGATGACAGTTCGCCATAGGCTCTAACTCGACCAGTTGTGTTCGAGTAGAAAGCCTTTATAAGGTTAATGTACTTCTTTGGTACTCCTTTCACTGACAAACACTGCCATAGAACCTCACGATCAACGGAGTCAAATGCCGCCTTAAGGTCAAGAAATACTACTATTGTGGGACGTCTGAATTTGTGTCTATGTTCTAGGACCTGACGTAGAGTGAATATCTGGTCTATGCAACCACGTCCAGGTCGAAAACCAGCCTGGTTTTCTCTAATCTGCTCTTCACGAGCTTTGGTTAGGCGACCTAGTATTATTGACGCTAATATTTTAGACACTATATTAGTCAAAGTGATTCCTCTGTGATTGTCACAGGAGGACTTTTGTCCTTTCTTATAGACTGGCACAATCAGTGATTGGGACCAGTCAGATGGAATGAAGTCCAGTTCCCAGATTCTACCTAAGACCTCAGTCAATCTCACTGCTAGTACTGGACCACCATCCTTAAAAATCTCAGGGGTCAACCTGTCAGGGCCTGCCGCTCTCCCTTGCTTCAGATTTCCTATAGCTTTTTCAAACCTCACAGAGGGTTGGAGGACTTACATCAATTTTCCATTCAGGACGACTGGGGATCGTGGGTAATTGAAGTGTGGCTGAAGGCCAGTTGAACTGATCCCTAAAGTGTTCTGCCCATCGATCCAATCTCCTGGATTGAGAATGAATAATATGCCCATCTTTATCTGAGATGGTTTAACTGATGTTCGAGTTCCTAATACCGGTTTTTTTAACGAGTCTGAATAGCTTCCTACTGTTACCTATTACCGCTGCCTTTTCCATCTCTCTTGCTTTCGCTACCCACCACTGTTCACGATCATTACGTAGGCTTCTTATAAGCCTGCGCTTAAGTTGACTCCGCTCTTCGTTAAGTTGAGAGCCAGGTGGGATGAGTTTATGAGCATCTATCAGTGCGGTAGATGCTGCCGAGATCCATTGTTTCTCCCTGACCTTATGGTTTACCTTACTAGCGGATATCACTGCTGTTTCCACAGCTTTTCGGATGTCATTCCACTCTGCTTCGGGGTGGACACAACTTACATGGCTGCCTAACTGTTTTTCTAGTTGTTCCTGAAATATATTCCTAGCTTGCCATCATTAAGTAGAACCCTAGGAGGCTTCCTTGCAGTGTCTTTCCTACGACCAGTAAGACGCAGACAGATACGTGCTCGTACTAGAGCATGATCTTAATCTAAACGTGTGCCCCAGAATGAGCGACAGTCTTCTATCGATCTCCTCCATCGATGGCTGATAGCGATGTGATCTAATTGGGTCCAACGTTGGGACGAATTCGGGGGTTGCCATGTCAAAAGATGTTTTTCCTTATGCTTAAAGTTAGTATTTGCAAGAAATAGGCGGTTATCTGAGCACAGCTGCAACAGACGGTCGCCATTATCTGTTCTTTTCGCCATGACACCATAAGATCCACCCAGGTGTCTTTACCTTTCACTTAGTTTACCTACTTGAGCATTAAAGTCACCTGCTACTATTACTACATCAGAACGCCTAGCTTCTCGGAGAAGGTCAGAAAGTTTCCTGTAGAACTCATCTTTTATATAGTCTGAGCTGCAGTCAGTGGGAGAGTAGGCAGAGACGACGAAGAGGCAACGACGAGTTTCCCTATCTTTCCGAGTCCTTAGTGGTCCGTTTAGTCGGACAGCGCATAGACGACTGTCTACTGGGATCCAGTCTAAAAGAGCTAGTTCTGCCCTAGGACTTAATGCTATACCTACTCCAGCCAGGCCACGGGAAGCAGCGTCAGGACTTCCAGATACACGAAGCGTGTATCGAGATGAAACTTTATTTTGATTAGGTGCGGTTAAATGAATGACACTACTCGGATCTTGTATGCGTGTTTCGGAGACGCAGCACACATCGATGGTGTAAGATTCTAGAGTCCTAGCTAAGGAAGCTTGTTGTCCTATTTGGCACAATGTTCGGACAATAAAAGTTCCTATATGTAGTTTAGAGCGTGGTTTCAGAAGACCAGGAATAACGTTCTGTGTACTCGAATCGTTTGCCCTAGCGGTGCGAGGTGATAAAAGGACGTGGGAAGGGTTAGTCGTGGAGATAACAGAGTTACTAGGTGTAGGAAGGATTTGAAAGTGACCAACTTCGTCACGTGTGCAGTTATGGGTATGAGGGCTAGTATCACTTCCCGGCTGCCCACACCGTGGAAGGGTATTTCTTGAAAGACCTGAAAAAGAAGTTGGATTAGTGTTGGTCTTAACGACCTGGGAGAGTGACCGCAGTGCCCAAGGGACAACTGCTTGAGGCTGGTCACGCACGGCCTTTTTGTGGGGGATTTTTGACGTGTTAGCTCCGTTCTTCAAAAGTCCTTACCGCCGGAGACGGAAATCCGTGGGATAAGGCGAGGTGTGCATTTTTAGGGTCGACCTTTTCTAACCCCACCCCTCCTTGTGGGAAGGCAGCATCGCTGTCATACTGGTTGTCTGAAGGAAACATTTTACTGCTTTCACACCTCTGTACAGTCAGCAGTACGACTTGGCCTTCGGACCTTGGGATTGCTGCTTTTAGTCTCACCGCTCTTCAACTGACCTGCCTAGCATGGTAGGACCTTGAGTAACGATTGTTTAGACCAGCATAGCTCGATTGGATCATCACGATAGGCAAGCCCGACCACCACGTCAAGGTAGCAGCAACGGTCGGGACAGTAAATATTTAACTTGCAAACTATCCATCCATTGTCTCAATCTTGACTGTTCCTTCTGCAAACATCTGTCCATCTTCTCTGATTTCATTGTTCATGCATTTTCATACCCATTGCGCTTCATTCCTATTCTTTTCTTTATCAATCTTCTGCCAAAATACATTCTATCCCTGACCATCATATACTACTTCTGTGGATATAAGTAACCTACACCACCATAGTACCTTCATTTACAATGTTCTAGATATAATAAATGTATTTACATATTGACCATCTTCATGAAGAAACAAACTAATAGTTCAAGTCAGTTCTTTCAAGAATGTGCATGGACACCTTGTTAACCAGTGCCAACTAATACGAAATGTAAATCCAGGATTATTTGTCCACTGAGTCTTACTATATAACATTTGAATATACTACACACGATATGATAATGGTTAATAATCAATCAATCAATCAGTCATATCAATCTGCTTATCAACGATTTCCTTAAGCTTTCAGTTAAAGAATCATAATGAAATATATATATCGTTTCTGCTTATTTGGTATGAGGAGAACATTGTCAAATTTATTGTTTCTATTCTATTATTTTTTGTAATTTAAAGAAATCCATAAAAACAAGGTCACTCCACCTGGTATTCATCCGATGAAAAAAATGGAAAGACGATCAGCTCCTCCATTTGTAAGTTTTGAATAGAAAGTATATCTGATTACTTTATTCATAGCTTCTTTTATTGAATATATTTTATATCTATTGTTGTTCAATAATATATATCATCAACGAATATACGGTGGACGAAATTAAAGTCTGAAGTACTACAGCTATCATTTACTACATTACTTTACTTAAAAACATTAATATTGGTACAAAGAAGCACCAGATATATATATACGCCACACAAATCTCATTTGATTTGTGTGAGGGATGTGACACTGCTCAGATGCTCAAACCGAACCAGATGGTTTTCTTAAAGGGCCAAATCCGGAGCCTTTGACCTAAACATCTGATCCACAAGACAGTGGAGTATCGTGAGGAGATGCAGTCACATGGTAGTCAATGACCAATGATTGATTTATACGCCGTTTGTTCCCTCAGGATACCGGAGCCCATGTACACCATTGGTTTGGAATGAGGGTTTTCCAACTCCCCCTAGATGGACTTTCCGTGTCCACCAACCCGGTTAAAGCGCCGACGTTTGAATAAGAGAAACCTTTGTATCATTAGTTAACAGCCGAAAACATAGATATTTCAGGTAAAGGGTTTTGTTATACTGTGTTTGTATCATCAACCGAATTTGAAATGTGTGGTGACAGAATGTTAAGAAGATAGAGGAAAAGAGTACGAGAACAGAGAATGATTGTTGTGGAAACGAAGAAACAGTGAAATCTGAGAAAATAGATTGAAATTTTGCAAATGAAGCATTTACTGTATGGTTCTCAGAGTTTTACTAAGAGATTATGTAATTTTGTGTCAACATACATTCGGTTGTTCCCACTAGTGTTCTTATTCACTATAATATTACTTCTGTTATTATTATAACCATCGCTAATGCTATTTCTCAGTATTCTCACTTAAGGTACCATTAAAAACCAGAGAGCACTAGATAGGTTTTCAGTACTAGTATGAAACTCATTACCCGTGAGCAACCATAACTTTAATAGCGATCAAATCTTAGCCCCTCAGATCTCATGGTAAATGGTAAACCATTAGGACGATTATGTCGGTGAACAATAGTACAATTTCAAATTTAAACAATTCGCAACAAAGTGAGATGGTGATCTGAACCAATTCGTGATAGCTGTTCGACTCTTAATATATGTGAACTATATCAGTCACAATCTCGGAGTACAGCCCTTGAAAACTATCTCGTAATAATTCACTGATGAGATGATTGTAGTTTAGTTAATGGGCTCGATACACTACGTAAACCGCGAATCACCAAATGACAAGTGATTATGATGGTCAAGAAATGGCTTTAATATCCAAGGAATGAGAAATGAATCACTAATAGACTTATTCTGATTATATATATATTATACATATTATAGATTAGGTCTGTCTATAATCGTCACAGATTGGACGCATTTGGAGAACAGTTTGTAATCGAAAAGTTCAGGACAACTATTTTTCCCGAATATTATCATCATATAGGGAGAATGAAAGCCGACGGCTACTATCCTCCGTCTAAACAACACAAACACGTATCAGCAACTTTAATCTTTATGAATGATGAATGATGGATAATCATAAACCGTCGGATGTTAACCCTTGAAACTTTGTTTCATTCTACTTGACAAGTATCAGTAAGACATATCTAGTGGTTTTTAATTAGATTTTATGTGATACCATTCAGTACCATAGTTAAAGATCATACAATTGAGATCAGTTGACCACCTATGAAACTGAAACATTTGTAAACATCAATGATTGATCAATGATTTTCAAGTTTCTAAGTGTATCTTAATAGTAAATTCCAAATATTATGAAGATTAAGTTTAAAATTTGTAATTAATTAACTCCATTTACTAAATACCAAAAGAAAAATAAAATCATTATAATATTGAGTTACTTAGTTGATTGAACATGCTATAACTTTATTATCAGGAGGGGGTTTTGTGGAAATTTTAGTAATTCTATAGTGGAATTCATGAATCCATTGAAGCTGGGCCAGTGCTTTCAGGTATTCCATAGTGATCTAACTTCAACTAACTCATGAATTCAACCATATAACTTAATTAACAAGATATCATCGATGGTGAAGTCGAAGAGAAATGGTAAGATTGAGTAACCCTGTCTAACTCCACTGATTGAATGGAACAATGGAGAAAGAATGATATTGTCTTACTGTGTGATAATGCTCAAGCCATGCAATCCGCACTTAATCAGTTGGCAATCATTGTCCGTAGGTATGGTATGCGCTTTGCACCTTCGAAGTGGAAAGTACTTCTACAAGACTGGTAGGATTCTAATCCTGTACTCACCCTGGGTGGTGAGTAGATTGAAGTAGTTGAGAAGTTCGTGTATCTAAGTAGCTGAATAAGTGCTGGTGATGGCGTGAGTGCCAGAATGAATTATTGATAAATATCTACAACTAGAGAATGTAAAATGAAAACAAAGAGCATGGAACAACAAAACAGTGATTACCAAAATATGTTGGTCAGGTTTACCACTGTTCATGTTAGATGTTATTCAAATAAGTTAAGGTTACTAGTGACAGTGTTAACGTAAAGTGACAGCTGGCAAGTGGTTAAACATTCAAAGTTCCTATAATCTCACTTGTGGAGTAAGATACATTTACAGGTGCTAGAACATTTAATGCATTTTGAGAGCAGCATTATGCATCAATGCAGCGAACAAAAAATGGGAGAAACTTTATCGTACTGATAGATTGTGGGAGATTATTCCAGAGTCTAGAAAAATTATTGGTAAAGTAATTCATATAGTGAGATGATTTAGGAATGGGTTTATTTCTCTAGTGACAAGCAGCTGCGTCTGTCCTAATGGGGAGTTTCTGTATATTGAATTGCTTAGCTGGATGTAAAGGATAGTTTATTAAGTATTTTGTGGAAGAAGAAGATAAGATTTAGTTTGAGTCCCCTCTTCCATAAAGGGTCGAGTCCAAATTTATTACATCTAGAATTATAAGTCAAGGTAAAATCAATTCCAAGAATACGAAGTGTAAATCGTCTCTATACTTATTTTAGCGTTAATTTATTCTTTATGCGTGCACTACTAAGAATAAACGCTCAGTATTCTAGGAGTGGTCGAACACAAACATTTTACATTAAAATACATGATTCATTGTTTAAAAGGTTTTGGGTTATATAACCTATAAGATGTTGAGACTTGGAAGTCTTGATGTAGGTTTGTCCTCTGAGCTGGATAGTTTGGTCGTGGAGCTTTCATCGTCCTTCTGAAGGACATCATCAGCACAAACTTCGGGTAGAAGTGAAGTGTCTGAAAGCTACACGACCAAACCATCCAGCTCAAAGAACAAACCTACATCAAAATCACCCACCTGAGCTACAAATCTTTTCCACTTGGAAGTCTGTTTCAATATCTGTTCTGTAAACGATAAGTCGTAGGAGAACCTAACTCCTAAGTTTACTCCTGTATGTAGCCTAGATAACATTTCATCATTTATGGTAAGATCTTAATTGTATGATGATGTATCACCGAAACATATCCATCCATATTTAGCTGTATTAATCTCCACCTACCATTTTGAGCATCGCTGTACTACATGACATCAAGTACTATTCAATCATTAATTAGTATAGAATGACTAATAAAGTAAATTGGGCTAAATATAAACATTTCAATATAGTTGTACACTTCTTAAATGTATTTTGTGACTTATCAAGTACACTTTCAAAACACAGTTTACATTAAATGACGCCTATCAACAATGAATGATTTGATTGAATGATTTTTATATTGTATAATCAACATGATAAATTAATGACGTACTTCATATGAATCACAAGACAATATATGAAGTTACTTCTATAAAAAAAACATAGTAAACGTTTAGAATTTCTTTTCTTTCTTTTTGTTTCTAATGTTAGGAATATGGGATGGAAAAGTGAAACGAGGCCATAGAGATTATTTTTATTTTATTTAAACACATAAATATTGGTACAAAGTGGGCACCAGTTATGTATGAGCCACACAAATCTTATTTGATTTGTGTGAGGGATGTGATACTACCCAGGTGCCCAAACTGAAGCAGGTGGTTTTCTTAGGGGGCCACACTCGGAGCCTTTGACCTAATGATCCGATCTACAAGACAGTGGAGCATCGTGAGGAGACGCAGTCTCATAGTAACCGGTGACCAACAATTGGTTCATACGTCATTTGTTCTTTCAAGACACTGGAGCCCATGTACATTATTGGTTTGAAATCAGAGTTTTCAAACTCCCCTATGTGGATCCTCCATATCCACCAACCCGGTTAAAGCGCCTGACATTCACTTTTCGTCCCCTCAATTTTTTAAACAACACCCCTCCCTGCCTTGAGAAGGCAGTGAATAGGACTTCCTTAGCAGAGGATGTACAAGCGTAGCCGTTTGAGAGCATTTGGAGAGGGAGAGCGGACTTTCCCCACTCTCAACCGTAGCAGGGCATTTGGGGGCAGGCCATTGAGATAACTATGAGCAATCAAAAACTTTTGTGTATACAAGTTAATTTAGTAATCTTAGTGAATTATTTTGGTATTTAGGCTTGTCGATTAGTCTAGAATTCACTATGTTTACATGTTGTTTGTTTGTTTGTTTGTTTTTTATCGCCGGTGATAGTGTTTTTTCACCCCATGGGGGGTATTACTCAAATTTTTATGCATCGTATTAGTTGGTAGGTAAATTGTAGATCATTACACATTTTTAACAGAATTAAGGATGAAAAATCAATATAATGATAAAGATATTTTAAATATTTTCATAGTTGAAATCATAAGTCAATTGAAGCTAGACCACTATGGAAAACTGACTGACTTCAAGAAATATTTCCTTGAGTTTTAATGGGAGGCAGTGACCAGTGGAGTTTTATCAAGTCTGTTTTAGAGATATCAACTCACTGAAGACAATTGGTGAAAGGTTGCTCAAACATCGTGGATTAGTTGAAGTTAGACATTAACATCGTTGGATGCCAGCCGGCTCAGTGGTCTATCGGTTATGTGCTCTGTTGCGAGACTGGTAGGTCCTGGGTTCGAATCTTGTGAGTGCGGGATCGTGGATGCCCAATGCTGAGGAGTCCCGTAATAGAAAGAAACGTCCGTTCAGTGTTTCCAGGTTTTCCATGGTGGTCTAGTTTCAATTGGCTTATGAATTCAACTATGAAAATACTGAATTCTCCACAAAAACCCCTTCTGATCTATATTTTAAATAAACAAGAAGAAGGGATTAACTAAATAAATGAAGACTAAGTATAAACAACAATTCAATTGCATTAATATATCAGTGATTCTATGGATGGAAACCAGATATATGGAGATGAACCAATCAGAATAAAGATAATACCACTTGAGTTTGAGTTTGAAATTTATTCATCTGTAAGGTTACAGTACATTTTTGCAATATAGACAATACGAGTTATTAATGAAAACCTTGATCCCAATTCTTATCCTGATTCCTAACCTTAACTCTTAACTTTACTTCTTAGCACTAATTTTTGATCCTATTTGAAATCGAATAAGCGGTTTAGATTTCCAAAGGTTATCTTTGAACTGCTCAGCAGTTGTCTCTATGACCTAGTTTCACCTTTCTATCCTATATGCTTAACTTAGGACATTATTAATTCTAATGTAGTCCATTTGTCGATGTAAGATATAATCGTAAATCACACTGCCTCCCTCCAGTTCCTTTTATGATTCTATCAATATTGTTACTATATGGTCACGAATTTAAATGAATCCCCACCAAGGTTAAGTGGTTATAGTGGATCCACAGAAATTCATACAAATAGGTTATACTCTAGTTGACATTAACCAGTATGATTTGTTAAAACTCGTGACGGACAGAATTCTACAAGTGTTGTGTTGTATGGCATCTCAGCTGAGAGTTAGAAGTATGCTTTATTGACTAAATCGAATGGAGAATACATGTACACTCAGTCATTATTATATATCCTCGTCCCTTAAAAAATTAAGCCGTATTTTTAACCAATGACCTATGTTTCTCTTTTGGAAAATAAGGCAAAATTTTGAATAAAAGCATCCAGTTATCATTTAGCCTACGTACGATTGGTCCAGCGAATCAATAAGCAATAAGGACTAGACAACATTTTTCTTCAAGACTGGACTGCTTCAACGTCTAGACTCATGATAGGGAATGAAGTGGTTAAAGGTGTCATTCCACTTTACTTATCTTACAGGTTTTATTAGCCCTAATGAATTTGTGTTTAACTAAATCTTGTCGCAGATTCAGAAGGTTTGTCTGGTTTTTACAAACTTATGTCACTTGTGGCATAGGTGACGTTTCCATCTGTCAATCAAAGGGTATATATGTCAAATAACAGTTCTTTCTGTTTTACTTTAAGGTTATAAAAATGGCCTTCGCAAATTATTAGTATTTGATAATAAATTCCTTCTAAACATTGCTCGTGTATGCTGGAATCAGTGGGCGAAAAGTATCAAAGTCAAATATAAACAGTTAGGTAAAGACATCAAATGGGTTGATGAGGTGGAGAATCTTTATCGACTGAGGTGGTCGAGACATGTATTACGTATCTCAATCTTTGACATTTATTAGTGTGGCAGTACGCCGGGAGAAATCTAAGGGTGGTGGTGTATCAATATTGAATTTCAGACACCGCCCACTATAACAAAACGATAGTTTATAAGTTTCAGATACTCAATTCTGTCTCTGTAGGTTACATACAACAGGAAAATCGATACCATCTGTAAACTCTAGCTCTGAACTCTTCGTCGCTAAAAAAACTTTTGTCAAATGCTATTACGTTTTATGGAAAAACTGATCTGATAGCACCTCTCGTATTTTTGAGCTGAATCCATTTATCCATAGGGCTATACAGCATTTTTACATTATAGCTGGTGACAGTTAGTGAAAAAACCCTAATCTTAGCTGAGAATAGTGCAGAAATCTGGTAATACTGAAAGGCTGTTTCGTCCTAGTATGGTACTCTTCGGTAGTGGGCATGCAAGATTCTGTACTGACGACTCAAACCCAGAACCTTCGGTCTCACGCGCAAACGTTTAACCTCCAAATTATTTATCTAGCACCTGAAAGTGTTAATGTATAACTGAAAGTCTAAATTCTAGTCCCACATGGATGGTGGGTGCGCATCGCTGCTCATTTATTTGCGCCTGTTATTTCCAATGGAGTATAGGCCTCCGACCACCATTCTCCAACACACTCTGTCCTACCCTTTTCTTTCTACTTCTATCCAAGTTTTGTTCATTCTTCTCATGTCTGTCTCCGTTTCTCCATGTAATGTGTTCTTTGGTCTTCCTCTTCCCATTTTGGCTTTGCGGATTCCATGTGAGGGCTTGTCTTGTGACGCAGTTGTGTGATTTCCTCAATGTGTGTCCTATCCATCCCATATTAGAACGAAACAGTAGTTTGGTCCTTTCAAATTTTCAATCATTGTCTATTATTAATCGGTTCGTTATCTCAATAAAAGTCAATAATCTATACAACCATATACTGATATATCTAATTTTCATTCCGGTTTCTTTTCGCAGGATACAACCTCTGGTGCATTGAAAAATTGGTTTGATTTTTACAAAAAAAGTAACAGTATGAACTCGTATTCATTATCTGACCAATTAATAACTGATTGTTTATGTGAATTAAACCCAAATATGCTAGTAAATTTATTAGGTGGGCGACAGAAATTATTCGATGAAAATTCAATTACACCTACACCATTAACTGCAATCTCAAGTCTTGATGAAATATTTCGACATAGATCAAATTCTTATTCACGTGTTGAAGAAATTCAACATCAAAATCTGCCAAATAATCAACCATTTGATAGTCAAGATTTAGCTAATCTATTTTTTATTGAAGAATCATGGGAACAAATTGTTAAGTCTTCTTCAGTAAGTGAAGTTTGTTTTTGTTTTTTGTTACTTTTTGTTCTTTAGAGAATTGGTGGCCAGACTATAACTTATGAACGAGCCAATTAAGGGCGTTTGAGATATTTCAAGGTCATGGCGCTAATTTCAGTACCTGACGCTCATGTACGTTCGATTCAGGATTTCAGAGAAAACTTGACAATTAAGCGGCTACAACAAATGAGACTAATAAGAACTTCCTGTATTTGTAATTGCAGTAATTAAATGACTTGTAGACCTTCTGAAAATGACTGTGACTTTGTCCATCGATGTGACATATGTTGAAGGAAGACGTTTTTTAGGATAGGAACCTTTATTGCTGGATTCAGATTGAGACTAAGGCATATTTTAATGATTGCCGCCAACTGTATAATAAAAGCAGCAGTAACATTGGCTGCAATAATCTCAAATGTTACTGAAGCTATGGCTGTTCAGTGGTATGAGTATTGTATGGACATATCCATAATAAAAATGATAAATTTACACAACCGGATTACAGATAAACAATAATGAAGCTATATAGTCGAGGCTGAGAGGGTTTTGGTAACCTTATCATGGCTCCAGAGACAAACTATTATCGAGCCATATGGATGAGTTCCTCTACCTTATGCATTACGATTTTGGGACCTTTGAACCTTTTTCTAACCTTGATAAGTTTTTGGACCATATAAAAGAAGTGTGTAACCACTTTCATTATTTGGTTTTGTATGATTTTTTTTTACTCTATGCTTACTGTTTACTGATTGGCTAACATTTCTCAAGGTCACTTAAGATTCGTTTAAAGGTCGTCCATAAATTATAGTCTCGCCGAATCGTTGATATAGATAGATGAGGTCAAAGAAGTTCCTATTTTTGAATCCTTCAATAGTGATGTGACTTTTGTGTTCTTTCCCCAGGATCTGTTGTTCTCCCTGATTACGATGATTTTCTCGAACAAGAATTGAAAGGGAAAAGAATATGCATGTTTCAATAATCCAAACAGAAACGATCAAGGTATACTAATAGAGCATTAGAGTTTATATGGAATTTACGAGAATCTTCTAGTATCCATTCATCAGCAATGAATAGTTGAAAATTGACTAATTGAGGTATACCCCTTCAAGTATAATCTGAGCCTGCAGTAGTCAGGACAATGTCTTGCTTACAAACATTTTATTAAACTACTGAATACAATACACAGAAAGTTATCCCTGGAATTACCTGTAGCTTCCTAACTTATCAAGTACTTACTTACTTAGGCTTGTTACCTCTCATGGAGGAGCATATGCCGCTCATCAGCATTCTCCACATATATATATAGCTTTATTCACTATTATATATTCGGTAAAATATAGAATTCTCAGAACAAAGTACTTCAACACGTTTCCGTTTCATACTTCTTCGTCTATCCTGACGATAAATATTGAGTGATCGCCAGTTAGAAGTTAGCAGTCCAGTCAATCGACATCTGAATAATGTACATTCTTTTCCGTGTATATCGCTAGCGACCACGATATCTCTGATTAGGCCTTTTGTAACCTTTACAGCGAAAGATTGTATACTTTTCAGAAACGCATCTGAATAGGTTGTGGGATTAATAGCCATAATGATGTATTAAAACAAGCAAAATTAGATAGCTTATTGAAACATATAGATGACAGGAACAAGTAGTCCAGTTGTTTAAACCGGCCGCATCATGAAACATAGAGGAGACGAAACTGTTCAATCTTCGGTTTACCAAAAAAGTACTTGAAACGGCCTTTACGTGAATTTCAGTTGTTTTTGTTGAATCAATTGTAAGAAAGCATTGAATAAAACACTATTTTATAGGGTAGAAAGGATATGTACCATCAAAAAACTGGAAGAAGCATTGGTGAATCTGTGAATTGGTCCAATCTGTTGAAAAATTACAAATAGGCATTAGTCCAATGTTGACCACTTGTATTAAGTTCGCTATGCTTTTTTGTTTACCTCCCACTGCTACACACCTTCTTTTTTGAATAAGGTTTTGTACTACTCTTTATGTTTTCTTATTCTTTACAGAAAATGACAAAACAACAACAAAAAAGACAATCAGCTATTTGGGAATTTATATACACTGAAGCAAATTATATCAAGTATTTACGTACTATTATAGATGTAAGTTGTATATATGAAAACGGTTGTTTTATGGATTGATATTTGTGTGTTAGTTCAACAATATGCTTAATCCATGACGAGCGTTTCGTCCTATTTGGTACTCGTCAGCTGTAATCATCATTTCAATAAAATTAATAGTACTTAAATGGTGATAAATATATCATATGATTCCTATAAAACTGATCAGTAGCTCTCGTATGAGTGAATTCATAAATGTACTTAAATCTAGCAATCAATATATACTAGTTACTCTCAAGGAACTGATGTTCTCTGTGCCATTCAAACAATACTAGCTAGATTCACGGTCTTAGACATCACCAGTGAGTTTTTCGGACCATGACTGATCTCCTATAGGATTGAGGTATTTGTAATTATTTGACTACTGATTGCTGACCATAGTCATATTTGTTCACTCTCAAGGATGATAGAATTTTATTGATGAAGTCAAATTCTCACTCATGGAATAGTTAATAAATAATGATAATGTGATACATTTGGTAATTATACATCTGCGTACCCAACTTTGAACTGCAATTTAGATGTGCGGAGATAAGTGATCTTAATCAGCTGTCTAAACCAAGTTAGGTGACGTTCAGTTTGAGATTGCCAAACTGAGATATCTAGCACTCATCACTGGCACTTGCCAACTAGTCTAAAACCTTGGTCTATAGTTTCATACTGACTAATTCCAAATGATTAACATCGCAGAATATTTTAGGTGTCGAGCTACTTGGACTGATGAACAAAATCCAATCACATTAATATCAAATGATTATGTGAACATGAATAAGGTTATGTAATAGATGAAAACATTTTATGACAGTTCTATTTACTTTTCCTTTCGTAACAAACTGTTTAGGCATGAAATCTTTTCATCGCGATAGACTCAACAAACTGGAGTAAAACTGATGTTTCTGTTTGTTAGTTATGTTTGGAATGTTTTAATGTGTCACACATGTAATTCTAGTTGTAAAACTAACTTTTGTAACTTTAGGTTGTGTGTAAATAACTTCAAGAGTTAATCATTCAACTGAAATTCAGATTACTTAGTTCATTACAAACAATATCAGTTATAGACGTTTTCAATCCAAGAGACTGAAAGGTGGTTAGTAATTCTGAAATATATACTTTACTTACCTGTTACCCCTAATGAATCATTGCTAGCTGACCACCATTCTCCAACCCAATCTGTCCTACCCCTTTCTTTCTAGTTCTATCAAATTTCTGTTCATTGTTCTCATATCTGTCTCCGTTTCTCGGCGTAATTTGTTCTTTGGTCTTCCTCTTCTCCTTTGGTTTTGAAGATTCCATGTGAGGGCTTGCCTTGTGACGCAGTTGTGTGATTTCCTCAATATTTGTCCTACCCACATCCAGCACTCCTTCTTGATTTCTTCCTCCACTGGATGGAATCTGGTTTAATCTCTAGGTTACAAATCAATATTTTAGGTCATTAGTCAGTGAGGTCGAAATTTATCTACACCATATTTTGATTCATACTAATTCTTGATTGAAATAGTCTTATTAGATAATCTACTTTTTTATATAGTTGAGATCATGAGTCAGTTGAAGCTAGACCACTATGGAAAACCTGGAAGCACTGGACGGCTGTTTCGTCTTATTGTGGAACTCCTCAGCAGTGCTCATCCACGATCTCGTCTAGAGGGATTCGAACACAGGACATATCAGTCTCACGCACGAGTGCTCAACCTCTAGACCACTGAGCGGGCATCCAATGGTGCAATGTCTAGTTCCAACCAATCCGTGATTTCCAGCAACTGTTCACCAATTGTCTTCAGTGAGTTGATATCTCACAACAGACTTGGTTGAACTCTACTGGTCACTGCTTCCCACTAGAACTCAAGGAAACATTCCTTACAGTCAGTCACTAGTGAGCATATGATCATTATCAGAAGGGGGTTTTGTGGAGATTTAAGTAATTTTATATAGTTGAGATCATGAGTCAGCTGAAGCTAAATCACTGGTTGGTCCTGGGTTCGAATCTCATGAGGCGGGATCGTAGATGCGCACTGTCGAGGAGTCCCACCGTAGGATGAAACGTCCGTCTAGTGCTTCCAGGTTTTCCATAGTGGTCTAGCTTCAACATGAATCATGATCACAAGTATATAAAATTACTAAAATCTCCACGAAACTTCTTTCTGATAATATATTCTTTTGCTGAACCTTACAGTTCAATTACTTTACATTATATTTTAAGTTTGACTAAAACTGTATATAAAGAGTGACACTTTTCATTGCCATTAATTCTCAACAGTCAATGGTCAGCTTTTGTCATCTGATATACCGTGACTCAATGATAATATACAGTATTGAGGGTAACAATTTACTTTGTTATGTATATGTTATGTACATGGGAATGATTAATTAAATTTAAGGCTTAGGTATGTAATTCAACCAGAGATCAGGGCATTGCATTTCGAAAGTGATATCAATTGAATTATAAAATTAATCTTTATTAAGATCCACTTAGTCACATTCAAACAGCTTTGTATAACTACACGAATTAACGTACGTGTAAGCTGCTTGTAAAGATTGTCGAATTTTATAGTACATGTATTTTAGCGTTATCACGAATCGATTGAAGTTGGGAATATACCCCGATAGATCCCAGTTTAAATGGTTTAAAGGTTGAACGTTTACTGGCAATTATGAATAGTTTAGATTCGATCCTCATTGAAATCGTGGATGCACTTCTGAGTAGCCTAATGATATGATAAAACAACTACCTAATGTTTCCTGGTTTTCAGTGGTTGTCAGGTTGTAATTCAGACTGTAAATTAATGTTTATGATCGTTGTATCAAGGGGCATCATTTCTACAATTGAAGAACATATGAAACTCAAAACAACTGTCAACTATTTTCAAAGTCAGAATCTTCAATACAAACGTCAAGACAGTCCTACTGTACGAAGCTCAGACGTGGAGAACTACTACATCCATCGTCAAGAAGGTACAAGTATTTATAAACAATTGTCTTCGCAAAATACTCAACATTCATTGACCGGATACTATCAGCAATAGCGTTTTATGGGAGAAAACAAACCAGCTTCCAGATAAAGAGGAAATTAGGAAAAGACGTTGGAAGTGCATAGGACATACATTAACGAAATCACCAATGTGCAGTACAAGGCAACCTCTAACTTTGAATCCGGAAGGGAAGCAGAGAAGAGGAAGGTAGAAGAACACATTAAGCCAGGAAATAGAATCAGATATGAAAAGGATGAATGTGAACTGGAAAGAACTGGAAAGGAAGGCTCGGGACAGAGTTGGATAGAGAATGCTGGTGAGCGGCCCATGCTCCTTGAAGAGGGGTAACAGGCGTAAGTAAGTAAGTAAGTAAGTAATCGATGTAACAGTAATATCTTCTTCTTCTTTTAATGATTTTGATTTTTTTTCCTATTTCAGTATTATTTAGCACCATTTTTGGAAATACGTGAATCTTTATTTGAGAATTTAGATACTGGATGGATATTTGGTAATATTGAAGAAATATTCAAAGCAAATATTAAACTATGGTTACAATATCTAACTGAACCATTGAGAGAAATTCGTCGTAATGGTGATGCATTTACACCGGTTATCTTTAAAAGTGCAATAACACATGTAAGTGAAGTAAAAACACAAATAAACACACACCTTATTAAGTCAGCAAAAATACAGATTGATTGGATTGTATTAGATCCTGTAGGATCAGTCCGTAATAACAAGAAAGTAGTTGTATGATCATTTATTTTCTAGTTCAGCTATAGATGAATGCACCTATGTTCCCAGTGGTATCTATGACCTTTCTATTCATTCATACACTGACCAATGAACAGAAAACAAGACCTCAATGCTTATTGGCCCTTTACCCTATATTTCATGAGAAGATAAAGATGAAATTCAAATCAGTTATCCATTGTACTCAGTTTGATTTTAACTGAAAATTCATACAACTATAAACCAGAAATCTTGAACACTTAAAAAACATAATTAGAAATTTACAATTTATTCATAAACTGGCTGTGATACAGAGCTAAAGAAACAAGGGGATAATTACTATAATATAAATCCATATTATATTTGAAATCATGAGTCAATTGAAGCTAGACCACCATGGAAAACCTGGAAGCACTGGACGACCGTTCCGTCCTATTGTCGGGACTCCTGGAGTACTAGTAAGAGGCAGTGACCAGTGAAGTTCAACCAGGTCTGTTTTCGGATAGTAACTCACTGAAGACATTGGTAATCGGTTTCTCAAACTTCGTGGATTGGTGGTTAAGCGCTCACGCGCGAGACTGCTAGGTCCTGTGTTCGAATCTCGTGAGGCGAGATCGTGGATGCGCACTGCTGAGGAGTCGCACAATGGGATGAAACGTTCGTCCAGTGTTTCCAGGTTTTCCATGGTGATTTAGCTTTTATTGACACATGACATCAACTATATAAAATTAATAAAATCTCCACAAAACCCTTTTCTGATAAATCTATATTAGTAAAACGTATGACGATTCATAGATTAAAGGAAAGCTTAGAAATAGAATATAAAAAAATATACAATAGTCCAAACATCTATTATTCAGTTAACAATCATTCGTTTGAAGAAGATGGATAGTGGCTAGCAGTGGAATCCAGGACACGCGTTTCATCTTATTTGGTACTCGTCAGCTGGATGTACCTGATGTTCACTCTGAGACTAGAACCCAATAACTTTCGCTTCAAACGCCATCGCGTTATCCACTCACCTACTGAGTCCTGATAGCCACTCGCTTGTGAAATGGGGTGAAGTTTAAATTCACTTGATATTATTTGTTTGAATCTTTCCATTGATGTTTAGGACTGCAACTAGTCATTTGTTTGATAGTCTCAAAAGTTACACTTCCTTACTATTCACCCTATCATTTCATCGATGTTTATTTGTTAATATAACTAATTATCTGGATGAAACTAGGATTCTATTGTTGATAGGTTTCACCGAACCTTGGTGATTATGATTATTGTCATTTAGAAAATGCCTTAACTGACGATACTTTTCCGTACTAACTACATCTTGGAGATATACTGTCTTGTACTTGAATTTGGGTTACACTCTAATTGTAAGGGATAATAATAGCATCCAAATGCCAAGAGTGAACTACGTGGAGTCAGTTACCTATTAATTAGCATTGAATTATCATTGTATCACTATAACTAACTGTTTTCATGCTTTACATACCATTACTAACATAAATATTCCCTCATTCATGTTCACACCTTAGTGGTGGTGGTAGTGGTAGTGACAATCGAACAATTAAAGTACACTAACTTTTACATTATTACATACTTACACAATTTAGCTTTTATCACCTGTATGTATGTGTGTCCATGTGTAATCATTAAAAGAAACGAAATGATTTAGAATTCCAGTAATTGAATACACTCACACATATACACAGTCGGCGGTCTATGCTCCATTAGGAGTAACAGGCGTAAGTAAGTGAGTAATTAAGTACGTACACATATACACAAACCTATACACATCAAAAACACAAAGGAACACTCAATGCATAAAGAGAATATGTAAAACATACTGATGAACTGGTACCGAAAACAACCAGTAAAACACATTTGATTGTTTAATCATGATTGTTATTGTCAATGAATGAATAGAATAATGGTTACTTATGTTGATATAATGATGATGATATTCCATAGTTTGCTTCATTTTTCCATATTCGTAAGCCCAGAATTACTGGTTCTTAGCATAAGGTATTACAGAGATAATGAAAACTTATGGTTTCAAATCATGGAGTAACTTTGGTTCGACAACTTGAAAAGTGATGAAGTCATGGTATACGACTCATCAAAAATGAGGATCTATAAATTTAACTTAGATTAAAACTTGGGTACGCAAACCAATTTACTGAATTACGGAAAATCACCCACTGCATTGGTAAAATATGGAAACCATACATAGAATACAGCATTTATACAACATTCTTAAGTTGTCTCTTAAACACCCCTTGTTCTTTCATTCCTTTAGCTACTCCTACGTGTTTTGTTTTTTTTTCTCTTCTCATTTCTCCCTTCTGTTGATAAAAAAATTTTATTTTCGATTCCTGATGTATACTACTTTTATCTGTCTATAAAAGTAGTATACATCACATCTGAAGTGACAGGTACTGGGTTTGAGTTTCAATGTGAATATTAACACTAATATATAAGTTCATTTAGCCAACTAGCCACAAATAAAATGCAACGCACATTCTACTTTCCAATACTATACCGAATTTCTTACTTACTTACTTACGCCTGTTACCCCTCTTCAAGGAGCACGGGCCGCTCACCAGCATTCTCTATCCAACTCTGTCCCGAGCCTTCCTTTCCAGTTCTTTCCAGTTCACATTCATCCTTTTCATATCTGCTCCTATTTCCTGGCTTAATGTGTTCTTCTACCTTCCTCTTCTCTGCTTCCCTTCCGGATTCAAAGTTAGAGGTTGCTTTGTACTGCACATTGGTGATTTCCTCAATGTATGTCCTATGCACTTCCAACGTCTTTTCCTAATTTCCTCTTTATCTGGAAGCTGGTTTGTTTTCTCCCATAAAACGCTATTGCTAATAGTATCCGTCCAATGGAACTTAGGTACCGAATTTCTAGGTTCTGGAAAATGCAAGATGTTAAAACTATTCAGAGTATCGGATGTGTTAGTGTTTTATTTTTGTATTCATTCCTTTATTTTAAAGAAAAGACCAACGTGATATTCATAGAATTCGTTGTACACATTTATCTTTCATTCTAGATTTCTGACTTATTCAGTGTTTACAAACAATACTATGTGAATTTATCTCGTTGTCGATCATATACACAAGAAGCTGTTAGACAAAGTACCAACTTTTGTACATTTCTTGAGGTAAATCTAATAAAAATGTTGCTATTCTTCTTGTCCTATTGTTTGTTATACTCGATTTATCGAAGAAATTCATTTGAAGAGTTCCCATGGAAGCTGCTTTATTTTTAGGTAATACTCGTTACAGATTAACTTCAGTTGAGGTACCATTGAAAAGCGAAAGGCACTTGACAGCTACTTCCTCCTAGTATGGGACCTAAAAAATATTAATTATGATCGCTGATCAAGTTTCAGGTGTGGATCCCTTTCGAGTCACATGCTAGGACGAAACAACTGTCTTGTGTCTACTGATTTTCGACAGAACCGTGGGTGAGTTCTCTTTGTAACGAATAATACGTAAAACGTATCAAAATAGAATCGATTTGAGGACTAGTTTCCAAACTTTCTGTACACCAAAAAGATGACTTCATAACAATGTTCTTAAAAGTATGTTGTAATTGTATGTATATTAATCATTACAAATGTATGAATTTCTTAACTGATGACAAACATAATTAAATTTGAAGGGGTTTTGTTGTTATTTCAATATTTTCATAGTTGAAATCATGAGTCAATTAAAGCTAGACCACCATGGAAAACCTGGAAGTACTGGACGGCCGTTTCGTCCTGGGTTTGAATTTCGCGAGTGCGGGAGCGTGGATGCGTCCTTCTGAGGAGTCTCATAATAAGACGAAACCGCCGTCCAGTTCTTCCATGTTTTCCATGGTGGTCTAGCTTCAATTGGCTCATGACTTCAACTATGAAAATAATTAAATTTGTCTAAACTCTGTTAATATATTGGGCTTCTGGAAATAAAGCTTTAATATGTTCTGATTCTACAGGTTGACGAAATTTTTCACAACGATCAGTCATGAAATCTAGTAGGTAGATGAATAGATGATACAGTGATTCTTGAAGCGTTGAATATAAACATTACCTCTAGGGGTTTCAGGTATATCCGACATCCTAGATGTAACCGCTAGGTGCTATCTAAAATTTAAACATTAATGAATACTTTTTGAAACAGATTTTTTCAAGCAGCTAATCTGTCTGTTACGTGCTGACCACAGTCAGTTTTTAATCTCATTACCAGTTGCTTATTTAATAGTTGAATTCATAAGTTGATTAAAGCCAGACCACCATGGGTAACCTAGAAGCACTGGACGGCCGTTTCGTAGTCTATGGGACTCCTCGATAGTGCTTATCCAGTCTCGGTATTTGAACCCAGGAACATCGGTCTCTCGCGTGAGTGATTAACCTCTAGACCACTGAGTCAGTATCCAACGCTCTTATTATCTAACTTCAATAGTGTGTGCAAACTATGTGTTCTTCATTTTTTTGAAGTTAACCTTAGAGGACATTGATAAAATCGCTGTTTTCATGACGAGTTAAAGATCATTGTCAATAATAAAACATTTTACATTTGGGTAGTTTGAAAAAACAGTTATTATAAATATTCATTAAAAATAATAACACAAGTGTATTTTCAGTTACGTTGGTCTATACCTACACACCGACTTAACACACAAATGACGTCACCTTGTTTGATGGAAACCCAACTGCAATGTACAGTCTCCCGAACACTTTAGTTTTCAATACAATCATATTTGAAATGTGCTTCACTTCTTTTAAATGTACAATATTGCTTTAGATATGATCATTATCATCACCCGAATTGATTATACGAAGTTTAGTAGTCGAATGAGTTGGCCGATTCTTTTATCTTGGAAGTTCTATCAGTCCGGAGTGAAAATCAATGAAGGGGAAATGAGATTACACAATTAATAGTCAGTAGGCTAAGTCACCAGGTACCAGTCATGTATTACTCTCACAACCACATATCAACTTGACGACTTTTTTTATTACACGAACCAACTCTTTCTTCTGCCATCTCTATACCGAATCATTTTTCATTTTCCTAAAAGATAATCAAAGCTCCTCACTTATACCATTCACTTTAGAGAACCCAGCACACCAAAACAGCATCCATTTGAGCTTATAAGCTATTCCATCACATAAAACCTGTACAATATAATTGAATTCTATTCAAAAAATTCGAGTTTCCTGTGGTATGAGAAAATAAATTGTGGATCATTTTCACTTGATCTGATATTTTGAAGACCCTTTAATTAGACCCCATGCATTAATTCCTTATTATCTCCATAGTATCAATACACTTGAGGCATTCCATCCAATAATTAATATTATGATTATTTATTGATTTATTTTAAGTGGGCTGATCAACAAGGTCATGATCATCGTGAACCATTATGGGATCAACTGACAAAACCAACTACACGACTAACACAGTATCGTTTATTAATGGAATCAATACGGAAAAACTGTTGTAATTCTACTGAAGAACAAGAAGTCAGTGAAATGGTAAGTGCATGTGTATTTACTTCAGCCAATATTCATCTTACCAATGTTATGTAGTAAATTTTTTTATCATATTACATCACTTCAGAGATATTTCTTCAAAATTTCTCTGTTACTTACTTACGTACGCCTGTTACTCTCAATGAAGCATAGGCCGCCGACCAGTATTCTACAACCTACTCTGTCCAATTTTTGTTCATTCTTCTCACGTTTGTCTCTATTTCTCGACGTAATGTGTTCTTTGATCTTCCTCTTCTTCTTTAAGCTTCATGATTCCATGTGAGGACTTGTCTTGTGATGTAGTTGAGTGATTTCCTCAAAGTGTGTCCTATCCTCTCCCACCGCTTCTTCCTCATTTCTTCCTACACCAGATGGAATCTGGTTTGTTGTCTCCCACAGTGTGTTGTTGCTGATAGTGTCTGGCCAATAGATCCGAAGTATCTTGCGTGGACACTTGTTACTGAACATCTGTATCTTCTGCATGTTGGCCTTCGTAGTTCTCCGGGTTTCCACCCCATATAGTAGAACTGTTTTGACATTTGTATTGAAAATTCTGATCTTGATGTTGGTTGACAATTGTTTTGAGTTTCAGATGTCCTTCAGTTGTAAATATGCTGCTCTTGCTTTGCCGATCTTCGCCCTCACATCTGCATCAGATCCACCCTCTCTGTATATTTACTATAATACAGTTCCATCAATTTTTCAATGATCCACTGTAACAACTCCTATATAGCTGGAAACGATACTTGACCTAGGACTAGTGCATGTTCAGATTCGTGAACGAAACATCCACATTCTTTAATGAGTATTGTTTCCTACAGGACTAGGACAAGTGTCATCCGAATTCAACATCAGAAACGTTACCACTTAATAATTCAGATCAGCAATAAACTTCTGTAGGACTGAGATATTTAATATTGATTAATGACTGATTATTGACCGAAATAAGCTTTGATTAGTCATTGGTGTTGATCAAATACCTTCGATCGAATTGTAGAATGCTTCAGCTCCCCGTCATGGTTGAACGTACTGATGAATTTAAACCAGTACGAAACCACGATCAAACAGGATTTATTGTCAAGTACTGTCAAATCATCCATGGAGGACAACTAACCGACGCATTCGAGGGAAAGACCGGTGTTAGGCAAGGTTGCTTACTCTCACCTTTTCTCTTTCTCCTGGTGATCGAGTGAAGACGTTAACATCTGGAGTGAAGTATGGTTTTTCACTGGACATCTACGATGCAGCTGGACGACTTAGACTTTGCAAATGGTCTGTCTCTTTTATCACATACTGAACAACAAATGCAGGAGAAGACGACCAGTGTAGCAGTAGCCTCAGCCTCAGAAGCAGTAGGTCTCAATATAAACAAACAGAAGAGCAAGACTCTCCGATACAACACAACATGCATCAATCAAAACATACTTCATGGAGAAGCTTTGGAGGATGTAAAAATCTTCACATATCTGAGCAGCATCATCGATGAACACAGTGGATCAGATGTAGATGTGAGGGCGAAGATCGGCAAAGCAAGAGCAGCATATTTACAACTGAAGGACATCTGAAACTCAAAACAATTGTCAACCAACATCAAGATCAGAATTTTCAATACAAATGTCAAAACAGTTCTACTATATGGGGTGGAAACCCGGAGAACTACGAAGGCCAACATGCAGAAGATACAGATGTTCAGTAACAAGTGTCCACGCAAGATACTTCGGATCTATTGGCCAGACACTATCAGCAACAACACACTGTGGGAGACAACAAACCAGATTCCATCTGGTGTAGGAAGAAATGAGGAAGAAGCGGTGGGAGAGGATAGGACACACTTTGAGGAAATCACTCAACTACATCACAAGACAAGTCCTCACATGGAATCATGAAGCTTAAAGAAGAAGAGGAAGATCAAAGAACACATTACGTCGAGAAATAGAGACAAACGTGAGAAGAATGAACGATAATTGGACAGAACTAGAAAGGAAGGGGTAGGACAGAATGGGTTGGAGAATGGTATTCTGTGGCCTATGCTCCATTGGGAGTAACAGGCGTAACTAAATAAGTAACCTCGAATCATCATCTAACTTAATACAGATTACTTGAGTATGAGTCATTTAGATCAGTGTCCACATAGCAACTAAAGGCTTGAGTAGATATGACAGTGATCACAGATCAGCTTTTTCGTATCACGTTTGCCTTACTAATTATATTAATACTGTCTACTCCCAGCTTTATTCATTTCCATCCATCTTTTTTTCTCTCTCAAAATATACAGTTCAATTCAATCAGTGAATTCATTGAAGAAATTAATCAACAAATGATGACTGAAACAAAAACATGGGAAAGTTTAGAATTGTTGGCATCCAAATTATTATGTTGTGATTTTTTAGACAATAATGTTGATGATTATACACAATTGATTAGTGATTATTCAAGGTAAGTGTATAGTAGTGTAATGTTTATTATTTTCAGTAAGGAGTCGTGGAAGTTATTGCATTTCATTCAAATTATGAACTGAATCGGTTATGAATCAGTGAAGGTCTCTGGCGAGAGACTGGTAGGTCCTGGGTTTAAATCTCGCCAGTGCGGGATCGTCGATGCTCACTGCTGAGGAGTCCCATAATAGAACGAAACGGCTGTCCTATGCTTTCAGGTTTTCCATGGTGGTGTAGCTTCAATTGTCTCATGATTTCAACTATGAAAAATACTGAAATCTCCACAAAATCCCTTCTCAACTGAGAAATGTTAGACAAACATTGATAACTTGAAAACTTTGAATAGTCGTTTCGTACTAGTATAGGTCTCCCTAGCAGTGTACAACTATGATCCTGAGAGCGTGAACCAAACCTCAAACTGTCGGTCTCGTGCGAGGACGCTCAACCCCTAGACTACTGAACAAGTATTCAATGGTGATAATGTCTAACCTCAATCAATCCACAATATTGAGCAACCATTTTACATTGTCTTCTGTATGCAATTGCTTCATATTCAAAACGGTTGAACTCCATTGGTCACGGCTTCTCAATCGAACTGTGAAAATTTCTTTTTGAAGCTAGTTTCTAGTAAGCATATGATGATCTTCAATAATGGAGTTGTAGAGATTAGTGAATTTCAATGAAATCCACTGAATATTTTTCTTTACTATATATTATCATATTGACTGTTTTGAACAGTTAGATATTGTGTGGAATGTCTTTTATGACTTCGAAGTAAACTTTATAAAGTTTGAATCATCTCTTTTTAACATTAAAGACTGAATGTTCATCAGTTTGTTTTGATTCAAGTGAATTTAAATTTCACTCCATTGCACAAGCAGGTAGCTATCAGTAGTTGAGTTTATAACGCGATGGCGTTTGAAGCGAAAGGTCCTGGATTCGAGTTTCTGAGCGAACATCAACTCTGAGATACAGGCATATCCGGCTGACGAGTCCAAGATAGAACGAAACGCGCGTCCTGGATTCCACTGCTAGACACTATCCATCTTTATTTTGATTGTTTTAATTTCTAAACTGATCTCAGACCATCGAATTATTGATCCCATGTCCTTATTATTTGATTGATAGGGTTAATCCCTACATATCTATCAATTGATGCGTTATTATAATGCTATGCTCCTAAAAACTCTCTAGCTTTCTTGGTACTTCCTCTGTCCGCTGTTTTTTTTTCGCCTGAACGAAATGATTTTCATAGTTGTCTACATTCATTGGTCTTAGCGAATCTATGTTGTGGCGTTTAATCGCCATCTGCTGTTGTTTTAGAACCGTAAGGTATCGAGTTCAAGTCTTAGACTTAAAAATAATCAAAACTAACAGTTCCCAAATAGGTGCGAATGAATATCCTGGGTTCCACTTCTAATCAAAATCTATCTATTCCATAAAAATCTACAATTTATTATTGAGTTTCACAACTTTTCAAAAAGCCTTCTGAACCATAACTTAGCGTTTATCTAGGTAAACAACTATTGATATCTACACCGAAACTAATGTTGGAAAACATGGATATAGGCTATTAAATTAGCATCACAGGAATTTAACGCACAGAGTTAATTGTAAGTGTAGGTTTGTAGAGTTTTCTGACTTTCAATGAAATCGAGATTGGATGCTGGTTCAATGATCTATAGATTAAGCGTTCATGAGTGTGACCAAAGGTCCTGGACTGGATTTTCGTTTGCCGAGTTGTGGATGGGCACTACTGAGAAGTCTCATATTAGAGCAGAATCGCTATCCATTACTTCCAGGTTATCAAAATTGACTCTAATAAGCTATGTGGAAGTCTTTCTGGATTACTCCGAACCGACCTCAATCAAGGAACTACGCCCGTTTAGCGGTCTTGTGAGTTTATTTCGACGGTTCGTACTGAATTGCGCATCTCTCCGAGACCCTTAACCGACCAGCTTCGTAAAAATATGAAATCAGTCGATTTGGGAGATGTCGCGGAGAAAGCACTCTCCATGATTAAGGAACATATCGTCAAAGCAACATTTGTCACACACTTGAAAGCCAAAGCACCCATTAGTATCGCATAAGACGCATCCGACTCAGTGGTGGGAGTAGTCCTACAACAATAGGCATATCACTTCTGACAACTTTTGACATTCTTCTCAAAACGGTTTCTAGACACTGAATCAAAGTATAGCACTTTCGGTAGGGAACTCCTAGCCAAGGATTGCTCTGTATGGCACATTCAACATTCCGTGAAAGGTTGAAATTTCACTCTGTTCATCGATCACGAACCTCTCTCATTCTCCTTGAGCTAATCTTCAGACAAGTAGACAACATTTCAACCAAACATAGTTGACTTGAATAACTAGAAGTCCATAAATTAGTTTTCTACAATAAAACCAAGATTTACATATCGAAAACACATGCGTTAAAACTACTGGCTAGCGATTCAAAAGTTTAAGCTCTCACTATGAGATCTAAAGATCCTACGTTCAATCCTCGCTTATGGTCGTAGATCCTCACTTATGGGTAGTCTCATACCAGATTGAATGATTTATGGCATTCATACGTTTTCTAACTATGATTAGTCCGTCTTATAGACTATAAAATTCAACAATCTTAACAAACTCCGACAACTACCATATCTACTAGTTCCAGTCAAAGTATTCAGAAACAGTGTTCCAGTCAGTACCTATCTCCATAAAGTGTGTTCTTTCCCTTTCAAATATAAAAAATGTAAAACTTGTGTTATTTCAATTCATTTAGTATTGTTTGTTTGAATTTTCCCATCGACGTGTTAGGACAGCAACTTGTCAGTCTTTAATTTGCATATGGGCATCTCTGCTTACCATGCTTGTAAATTAAGGTTATATCGAGGCAATACGCACAATATGCACATATGCCAATTAGAGACTGACCAGTTGAAGTCCTAACACATCGATGGGAAGATTCAAATTAACAATACTAAATAAATTTAAACTTCACCCCATTGCACAAGCAAGTAGCTATCAATACTCAGTAGCTGAGTAGATAACGCGATGGCGTTTGAAGCAAAAGGTGCTGGGTTTGAGTCTCAGAGTGAACATCAACTCTGAGATGCAGGTAAATCCGTCCGACAAGTTCCAAATGAGACGAAACGCGCGTCAAACTGGATTCCACTGCTAGCTATTATCTATCTATGCTTGTGTTATTTCAGTTTAAAAGTAGTATCTAACCTTAGTTCTTATCTTTTTTTCTTTTATCTTATAATGAATAAACAAAACCAGATTTAAATTTTCAATCCTTAGTCCAATCAAATTACCATCTCCAGTGATATTATTTAATGATTATCATTCCATTAGTCAATCTATACCTTCATGTACAAAATCTTTAGCCTTTTTACGTAATCGACGTTTAAGTGGTTCACCATTATTCACTTCTAACAATTCAATATCAGATGCTCGAACTATATCAAATCATAATACAACAAGTTGTAATCGTAGTGATTCCGGTATTGGTGATTGTAATCAAACATTATCTACATCATTATCATCAACAGTATCAAGAGATTATACTTCACCGACAGGTTTCAAACAACGTTCAAGAATTTATAGTTTAACGAATCCAGCCACTGAATCATTTTCATTTCCGGTAAAGTTATCACGTATTTTTGAAGGTGGTAAAATACAAAAATCCATTTCTCTGGATACAGAATTTTCTGATTCTATTTCATATGATTGGTCAGATATTCATTATAGGCGAACTATTCAACGTACTGTATTATATGGAGGAAATTTACGATTTAAAGAACCACCAAATCGTGTAAGTAGTCAGTTAAAAATCATCTTTAAGTTTGTTAACTGCTCTTATTTCAATAGTCCATGTTCTCATTGTATTTCAATGTTCATTTTTGAACGGCTTTGCGAGGCAATTAAACTAGGAATGATATGCAGTTTCTACATATCCGGACTGTCAAAATTACTGTCGTTTGTCAATAGCTTGAACCAGTTAGTTTCAATTATCTTAGTTTAAACAACCTACTGCTATTACTGGGTTTCAAATAAACGTCTCAAAGGCGAGTATATACATCTGCAATCGGTTAATGAGTTGAGTTAGTTCCCCTCTTAGTCTAACTGAAACTAATTTTCGTGCTAGCTGACAATAGTCACCAATGTGTATCTGTATTCTTGAAGGAACTAATACTCACCTATCGGATTTGAAGCCTTAACACTCAACTTTACAGTTTGAGATTTTATAAACAAAATCTTCAGACCATGAATGACTTCTTGTACAACTGAGATATTTACAATGGATTGACGATGTTCACTATGCAATAATCAATCAGTTGTACCAGAATTCAATTAAGATTTCAATAGCTTTAGTGGTAAAGTTTTAGATTGTGAGACTAAGTGATTCGAGTGTGAATCCAACAGAAAGCATTGCTTCACACAAGGCCTCACACAATAACGCAATGAAATAACTTACCAGGTGGATAATTTTGATGGAGTTTTGGTCTGTGAACTGGATGGTTTAGTCATGGAATAGAAGTTTGTGCTGATGATGTCATTCAGAAAAATGATGAAAACTCCATGACCAAATCATCCAGCTTAATGAATAAAACCCTATCAAAATTATTTCTTACTACTTCCTATTATTAGTTTAAAGATCTCCCATCATATTCAAAGACTAATATTTGGAGGAAGAATATTCTGAGATAGTGAAGATTTGTAGCACAGGTGGGTGATTTCGATGTAGGTTTGTTCTGTGAGCTGGATGGTTTGGTCGTGGAGCTTTCATCGTCCTTCCAAACGATATCATCAGCACAAACTTCGGGTAGAAGTGAAGTGTTTGAATCACTCCACACTTGATTCACAGCTTATCCTGTACACCTCGATGTTGATTGGTTATTATTGACCTTAAATCTGTCATTGTTTATTTCTTTGTTTTGGTTGTATCTCTTATTGGTTTGATTTTTGTTCCTACCCGACGTTTGTACTGATGATATCGTTGAGAAGGACGATGAAAACTCCACGACCAAACCAACCAGCTCAGAGAACAAACCTGCATCAAAATCACCCACCTAAGCTACAAATCTCCACCATATGATAGTGCAATTACAATTCGATTAAGTGGAAGACCGAATTGTGTGAAAAATAAGTAAGACCTAATAAAGAAGGATCAGTTCGAAGTAAATGAGTCATGTCTAAGGGGGATTAATAATGATATTTAACCAATAATAATAAAATACAAAGATTTGTAAATAAAGATAAGAGAGACAATTACATTTGGATGCGCACTGCTAAGGAGTCCCATAATAGAACGTAACGGCCGTCCAGTACTTCTATGTTTTCGATAGTGATCTAGCTTCAATTGACTCATGATTTCAACTATAACAATTATATTTGACTACGTAAGGTCATAAGTACAATAGTCAAATTAAGTCATCCTATAGCTAAGATTACTTACTTACTTACTTTCGCCTGTTACTCCCAATGGAGCATAGGCCGCCGACCAGCATTATCCAACCCACTCTGTCCTGGGCCTTCTTTTCTAGTTCTATCCAGTTCTTGTTCATTCTTCTCATGTCTGTCTCTATTTCTCGGCGTAATGTGTTCTTTGGTCTTCCTCTTCTCCTTTGACCTTCAGGATTCCATGTGTGGGCTTGTCTTGTGGCGCAATCGGGTGATTTCCTCAAAGTGTGCCCTATCCACTTCCAGCGCTTCCTCCTGATTTCTTCCTCCGCTGGAATCTGTAGCTAAGATTACTATTGATTAATTGGTCATGTGGTTGGCCCAGGGGGGAGCAGAGGGTTGGAGATATTTCTCCTGTACACATAGCTCCGGTTTCTTTATCCTGATGGCTACTGCCTCCATTTATTTTTTTATTTCTCATAGATACATATATTCATAGTTTTTTTCTCTCTTTTCTTTATATTTTCCTTATTTTTAGTCCATAGAAACTGTTTGCCATATTTTAACGGATTTATTTTTAATTACTAAACAACATAAAAAAGATGGTAATGATTATTGGAAATTAATAAAAAATCCTATACGATTAGATAAGTTAATTATACAACGTGGTCGTGAAACTGGTTAGTGGATTTATTTATTGCTTTTTGATTTATTCATTACTTACTCACTCACTCACTCACTCACTCACTCACTTACTTACACACTCACTTACTTACTTAATTACTCATTTACTACTTACTTACTCACTCATTCACTCACTTACTTACTTACTTACTCACTTACTCACAGACTCACTTACTTACTCATTTACTTACTCACTCACTCACTTACCTACTTACTTACTTACATACTTACTTGCGCCTGTTAGCCCCAATGCAGCATCAGCCGCCGACCACCATTCTCCAACCCATTCTTTCCTGGGCCTTCCTTTCTACTTCCATCTAATTGTTGTTCATTCTTCTCATGCCTATCTCCCTTCCTTCCTTCCTTCCTTCCTTCCTTCCTTACTTACTTACTTACTTACTTACTTACTTACTGACTGACTGACTGACTGACTGACTGACTGACTGACTGACTGACTGACTTACGCCAGTTACTCCCAATCAAGCATAGGCCACTGACCAGCATTCTCCAACCCGCTTTGTCCTCGGTCTCTCATTTTAATTCCATCTAACTGTTGTTCATTCTTCTCATGTCTATCTTTGTTTCTGGGTGCAATGTGTTCTTTGATCTCCCTCTTTTATTCATTATCTATTTGAATATGACTTGATTATAAATAATCACTGAAAAGAAAAAAGAAAGAATCAAAAATTGTAAATGTTTATATATCATTTATTTAACATTATTCTTTATGAATAGATATAGTTTTATAAAAGCTTCATATAATCTGAAAGCAATCTTCATTATACATTATCAATACTTAGTATTGTTTGTTTGAATCTTCCCATTGATGCTTGGGACTACAACTGGTCAGGCTCTAATTGGCATATGTGTATACTGTGCGTATTGCCTCAATATAGCCTTAATTTATAAGCATTATAAGCAAAGATAGATAGTGGCTAGCAGTAGAATCTAGGACGCGCATTTCAACCTTTTATGGGACTCTTCAGTAGTGCGCATCCACGATCTCACACTCGCGGGTGCGAGATCGTGGATGCTCACTGCTCAGGAGTCACATAGAAGGACGAAACGGCCGTCCAGTGCTTCCAGATTTTCGATGGTGGTCTAGCTTCAATTGACTCATGATTTCAACAGTGAAAATACTAAATTATCCACAAAAAAACCCTCTGATTTACAAATTTAAGCCAACACAACATGCATTATCATGCATGAGACCGTGTTAAATATATCGAAGCGTCTAAATCACAAACTTGAGATACATGTGAAATCAAAGTTCACAAAAACAGCGATTTGTCTACAAAAAAAGCCTTTCTTTATTGATTAATATACATAAATTAAGTACAAACCAGAACTTGTAAGTGGAACTCCTCCGGGGGCTACTACCAGTCTCAAGCCCAGGTACAGGAGGAGGGTTGGGCATGGGGTTAGCAACCCCATCGCGTAGAAAACCAACTTGCCATAAAAAACGCTAACCAGAAAAAGTTTTATTCAAAATTATTCCAAACTTGTGGTACCTTACATGTCTGTAAGTCAGAAATAAAAAAAGGCTACGATAGTACAAATGATAACTAATACTTGAGTCTAATCTTGATAACAGTTTTTCAACAAGCAAAAATGAGACTAAGGACAAAACAATATGGAAACTGTTATGCTTAAAAACAATTTTATAAGTGAGAAAACGAACTAAAACATGAAAATATAAAAACAAATGGATGAGATATGTAAATTGTTATGAAAACGTGCATGAACAACATAAAAATCATTGAAGATGCTTATACTACTGAAATTTATAAGTAGTTTAGTTAATGCGCTAAAAATGTAAGCAATAATCAAGTGGAAACATTAAATAATGAATTTGAATTATACTAAACATGGTGTTCAACCAGATCTGTTGTGAGATAGTAACTCACTGAAGACATTGATGAATGGTTGCTCATGGATTGGTTGAAGTTAGACATTAACAACGTTGGATGCCGGCTGGCTTAGTGGTCTAGAGGTTGAGCGCTCGCGCTCTAGATTGATAGATCCTGGGTTCAAATCTCGCGAGATGGGATCGTTGATGCGCACTGCTGAGGAATCCCGCGATAAGATGAAACGACCGTCCAGTGTTTCCAGGTTCTCCATTATGGTCTAGCTTCAACTGACTTATAATTTCAACTATGAGAGTTTTTTTAATTGTAAACTGTTGTCAACTAGCTACTTGCCTAGGTTCATATAAAATACTTGTGTGAAATAGTATTCAAATTCTTGTGATTCTTCTTTTCTCTTTAATTTTGCTTATCCGCTTAATTTCTTTTAGGTGTTTTTGCTTGCGCAATTCTAGATGATTTTCATAATATTGCTAATCTATATATTTTTTCTGCTGGACCTAAATGTGATGAATGGATTACACAGATTGAATCAGCAAAGGTAATTAATACAAATCTAAAGTATGAACTGACAGAATAGCTTTTGTCATTAGACTTTGATATTTGAAGTGTTATTTACTAAAATTCTGTTATATGTAAAGTAGTTTTACTGTATTTGGACTAAACAAACATGACATTGGTCATTACTCTACTATTAATTAAATGAAAAAGAAGCTTATTCCCGCCCGAATAGCTCTTTGATAACATCTCAGGCTGTAAACTTTAAATGACTTGACCTCCGATCCCATGGAGAACAACGGTTTTCTTTAAGATTACAAGTGCTCCTTAATGACAAGATTCAACCAGCATTTAACTCCTGTATAATATTTATCACTCACTGCTTTCAATCACCCTCTATTGCAATATAATTTATGAGATGTCGAATCAGTCAGACTTGTAGCCACATAATAACTGACTCGATAAGATCCTGTTAACATTAATGGATTAAACAAACATGACTCTTTAACAAACCAGATGTAAATATTTGCAATGTTTATATTCAGTTGAATTTTTATTAGTATGAAAAATAAAACGTCATTAATTGATGAAACTGTGAAGTAACTTACTTATTTACTCCTGTTACCTCTCGTCGAGAAGGAGCATAGGCCGCACATCAGTATTCTCCTTCCAACTTTGTCCTGGGCAATCCTTTCCAGTTATTTCCAGTTGACATTCATCCTTTTCATATCTGATTCTATTTTCCAGCGTAATGTGTTCTTCAGTCTTCCTCTTTTCCGATACCCTTCACCATTATAAGTTAAGGCTTGTCTCGTGATGCAGTTTGGGGATTTCCTTAATGTATGTCCTATCCACTTCCAACATCTTTTCCTAATTTCCTCTTCAACTGGAAGCTGGTTTGTCCTCTCTCACGCTGTTGCTGATGGTATCCGGCCTAATTTCCTAATGAACACTCAAATGGAGCATACACCACAAAACTTCGATTACTTACTTACGCCTGTTACCCCCAATGGAGCATTGGCTGCCGGCCAGCATTCTCCAACACACTCTGTCGTATCCCCTCCTTTCTAGTTCTATCCAACTTTTGATCATTCTTCTCATGTCTGTCTCCATTTCTCGGAGCAATGTGTTCTTTGGTAATCCTCTTCTCCTTTGACCTTCAGGATTCCATGTTAGGGCTTGCCTTGTGACGCAGTTTTGTGCTTGACGAATCTGTGAAGTAGTTGTAACCAATCAATAATAAATCTTAAATGTAAGTTTTCAACTACTTGATACTCGCTAAAATTTAAATTCACTTAGTATTGTTTGTTTGAATCTTCCCATTGATGTTTAGGACTACAACTGGTCAGTCTCTAATTTGTTTATGTTCATATTGTGCGTATTACCTCGATATAGCCTTAATTCATAAGTATGATAAGCATAGATTTTATATTGACTAACAGGGGAATCCAGGACACACGTTTCGTCTTATTTGTGACTCGTCAGCCGGATGGGATTATAGATTAAAGTAAACAATACCAAGTGAATGAAAAACTTTATTTACTATCGAATAAACGAAGAAAATTGATAACCATATTTTAATGCAAATTATTAACAACCTATACTAAATGTTCCATATGACTTCTTTTTTCTTATTTCAATAACTTTTAGGAAAATTATCGTAAACTAATGGAACCCGAAATTTTAATTGCTCAACCATTAATGAAATATCAACGAGATGATTTATCTACTATTATAATGTCACCAGATTCTATGTGTAGTTCAGATAATAATTCGGAGTTACACAATCAACCATATGGTCAGTTTGTTGATACTACACCTACTTCTTGTAACAGTATAAACTCCGGTAAAAATATTAACATTGAAGGAAATAAACGTAATGTATTCTTTGAATCACAATCATCCTTATTTGAATCTATCAATTGTAATCATACTAATCATAACAATCAAACAGATTCCATGTGTATTATAGATAAACGTATTAGATCAAATAATTCACCAACGATTATAAAAAATCATCAACGTTCCAGTTCTAGATCATTCAATTATACTTCAATTGAACATGATTCAACTAAAATGATTCATTCAACTAGTGTTCGAAATCTATTTTCATCTAATACTTCAGATTGTCATCTATTACATTTATCATTAAATTTAACTGAAACATCAAAATCAACTACTTCACATTTACCATTAAAAAAAGATTTAGCTAAAAAAAAATTTTTATCTAATAATCAAAATGAACAAAAATATTTTTCAATGAATTATCAAAATAAATCAAGATTTCCACGTGATTTAAATGATCAACAATTGAAATCTGAATCAACCAATTTAGATTTAGATAAAGTCAGTCATACAATCCCTATTCGTCAATCGTCAAGGTTTACATCTTCCGAAATCAATAATAATAATAATAATGATCAATCAGCAATGTATGATATAAAATCGAGTAATTCTACATTGTCATCATCATCATCATCATCGTCTTTAACATCCTTGAAAACTGAAATGAAAGTTCCTGTTAATTATCCATCAATAGTGATCTGTAAAGTTCAATCCGATTCCGATGAGATAATCAATAATAATAATAATAATCGACATTTACTTTCAACTCGTTTACACCGTTCATCAGTTCATCATTCCTTATTAAATATTGAACGATCTGATAGTAGTGAAGATCAGATCACAATTAAATTATGAATTGTTTATATATATTTTGTATATTCTTAATTGAATACCTCCTTATTTTTTCTATATGTTATATAACCTGGTAATATAAACTTATATTATTATCAGTTTATTGTACAGTGATAAAAACTTTCTCCCTACCCCCCCCTCAAAAAACAAAAAAATAGTTGCCTTAGCAACTACTTCAATAGCATGAATAGTTTTTTTGATATTTTCCTTTTATACTAATATTATGATATGTCATATATATCCTTTATTATTTCATGTACAATATAAGAATCGGTGAAGATACAAAAAAAAAGAGAAAACAAATTACCACACACACACACACACAACTGACTCGATAACACATAATACACAATTATTTTTTCAAACATTCCCCTCCCCCTCTTTTTTTGTGTATTTTTTGTGTGTTTTCTTTTCAATCTTCATTCATTAACATTTATGATCAATATAAAATTTAATAATCAATTGTCTTTCATTTTTATTATTTTTTATTCATTTAAAATACAAAAAAATATGTAGAAGTATATAGTTTGAATAAAAAAAGAATTTTTTTATAATAAAAAAAGAAAAAAAAGAAAAAAAAGAAAAAAACAAAAAGAAAAAAATTAAAAAATTTTTTTTATTTTTTATTTATTAATCTAAATTAGTTATATTGTTTAACTTTTTTATTATTTGTGTATACTGACAATTTGAATATAATCACATTATATAATAAACAAATCAGTGAGTATCAATTATTATGACTACTTATATTATATAAATAAGTAATACTTTAAGCAGAGATGGATAGTGGCTAGCAGTGGAATCCAGGATGCGCGTTTTGTCCTATTTGGGACTCGTCAGTTGGATGTATCTGCATCTCAGAGTTGATATTCACTCTGGGACTCGAACCCAGTACCCTCGCTTCAAACGCCATCGCGTTATCCACTCGGCCATTGAGTCCTGATAGCCACTTGCTTGTGCGATGGGGTGCTAACCATGCTTGTGAATCAAGGTATATCGAGGCAATACGCACAGTATGCACATATGCCAATTAGAGACTGACCAGTTGCAGTCCTAAACACATCGATGGGAAGATCCAAACAAATAGTACTAAGTGAATTCAAGTAATACTTTAGTTTATTTACTTTACTTATGCCTATTACTCCCAATGGAGAATAGGCCGCCAACCAGCATTCTGCAACCAAATCTGTTTTACCCCTTCCTTTTTGGTTCTATCTAACTTTCATCCTCCTCTTCTCCTTTAACTTTCAGAATTCCATGTGTGGGCTTGCTTTGTGATGCAGTTTTGTGCTTCCTTCAATGTGTGCCCTATCTAAATCCAGCACTTCTTCCTGATTTCTTCCTCCACTCCAATCTGGTTTGTTCTCTCTCACAGTAGGCTGTTGCTGATGGTGTCTGACTAACGTATCCGAAGTATGTTGCATACAAAACTGTTAATAAACACTTGTATAGTCTGGATGATGGCTTTCGTATTTACCCACGTCTCCGCCCCATACACTAGAACTGTCTTTACATTTGTATTGAAAATTCTGATCTTGATGTTGGTTGACAGTTGTTTCGAGTTCCAGATGTTCTTCAGTTGTAAATATGCTGCTGTTGCTTTGCCAATGCTCGTTTTCACATCTGCATCAGATCCACTGTGTTCATCGATGATGCTGCCCAGATATGTAAAGGTTTTCACATCCTCCAGAGCTTCTCCATCAAGTGTAATTCAATTGGTGCATGCTGTATTGTATCGGAGAGTCTTGCATTTCTCTGTTTATTTTAATACGTAATTTTTATTAAATTCAATTACGTAATATTACCTAGTAATTATTTCCATTAATTAGTATATATATATATATAGAACTTACTAAATATACTTACGCCTGTCACCCCTCGTTGAGGAGTATAGGCCACCCACCAGTATTCTCCATCCGACCATATCCTGAGCAATCCTTCCCAGTTCTCTCCAGTTGTTATTCATCCTTTTCATATCTACTTCAATCTTCCCGCGTAATGTATTCCTCAGCCTTCCTCTTTTCCGTCTGTAGATCTTTTAGAGTTACCGCCAGTCCCAAGCCTGGTTAAAGGAGGAGGGTCTGTCATGGAGTGAATAGGGGGGAACAGTAATTAATGGACTAGGGATAACTCAAGAATGGTAAATCGCATAACAATAGTCTATAGGTCAAAATAAAGCTTATAATAAAAGGAGCATTAATATGAATACATAAGTTACTTAGCAACTGTACAATAAGAAATATACATATCATATTTGTCCATAGATAATTTTCAAAGTAACCATTCATAACAATCCAAAAATATTCTATTTATTTATTTGGACACATAAATATTGGTATAAAGGGCACTGAATTCATATGCACCATACAAGTCACGTGACTTGCTTGTAGGCTGTGATACTGCCTTGATGCCCAGAACAAGGCAGGTTGTTACCTTAGCGTGGCACACCCGAAGCCTTTAACCTGAAAGTCTGATCCACAAGGTAGTTGAGCAATTTCAGGAGATGCAGTCCCATGGTAGCCAGTGACCAACGATTGGTTTATTCATTATTTGTTCCCTCAAGATACTGGAGCCCATGTACACGATTAGTTTGGGATCAGGATTTTCCAACTCTTCTAACTGGACCCTCCCTATCCACCAACCTGGTTAAAGCACTAGACATTCGCTTTTCGTCCTCTCAATTTCGTAAAGAACAGTAATGCTACTAGAAGGCAGTGAGTAGGACTTCCCTGGGAGAGGCTTTATATGCATGGCCATATGAGAGCATTTCGCGAGGGTAAGTGGACTCTTCCTATCATCGGCCGTACCAGAGTATGAAAAAACTTTATCTAACAAATAAAATAAGTAACTGTTTTCTTTGATAATCTAGATATTTTTTCTTAAAAATAAAAATAAAAATAAAGTCTTATATCATGATTCAATTTTCAATAACAATATTCATTTTCATTCAACTTTATACGTATTTAGACAATAACATCGTTGAATGCCAGCTTAGTGGTCTATCGGTTAAGTGCTTTGGAGCATGAGTGATAGGTCCTGGGTTGGAATCTCGAGAGTACTGGATCGTAGATGCACATTGTTGAGGAGTCCCACAACAGGACGAAACGGCCTTCTAGTGATTCCAGGTTTCCCATCATGGTCTAGTTTCAATTGACTCATGATTTCAAATATGAAAATACTGAAATCTCCAAAAAACCCCTACTGATTTATGTGTATTTTATTGGAAAGCGGGTGCGGTGGCGGGGAGGAACAGATAATAAATTATAAGTGCCTTATACAAATCATACTCAGATATTAACTCAATTTGTTAAAATAAATAAATAAAATATGAACTTTCGATCATCTTTTTTTTCACCTGAATCACGTGATTATAAAATATTTATTACCAAAAAAGAAATGAAAAATGATGAAGGACAACTAGAAGGTGAACATTTTCAAGGTCATGATATTCAATTCCCCATATTTTTATTACCTCTATTATTCTCTTGTTTCTATCCTCTTTGCATGTTTGTGGATGTGTGTGAGGGTGGGTGGGGGAGACGTCTATATGTTTGTAAGTTGTTGTTGTTGTTGTTTTTAATATATTTTTTGTCATCTAAATGTTAGGTGTATCTTGCCTATCACTTAAAAGGAATAAACAATAAATCATGTTTCTTTAAACTATTAAAACGAATGTAAACACATGGTTACGTACACACACACACACACATATATATAAATAAATAAACAAATGGAATACCGTAAAGTGTATAAACAAAATAAATTATTAAATTAAATAGTAGGTAATTAATTATATGATGGAAAAAATGGTTTTTAAACCGAAATTATGGTCATTAATCAAAAGGAGTTTCTTGTAGAGATTTAATTAATTTTATATAGTTGATATCATGAATCAATTGAAGCTAGACGACCAGAGAAAACCTAGAAACATTTGACGGCCATTTTGTTCTATTGTGGGACTCTTCAGCAGTGCGCATTCACGATTCCACCTAGCGAGCAGGGTTCTAACCCAGCATCTACCAGTCTCACGCCAGAGCACTTAACCGATAGACCACTGAGTTGGCAACAAACGGTGTTAATATCTAACTTCAACCAATCCACAAAGTTGAGCAACCATACACCATTGTCTTCAGTGAGTTACTACTTCATAACAGACCTGGTTGAACTCCACTGGTCACTATTTCTCACTAGAACTCCAGGAAACATCTCTTGGAGCCAGTCATTAGTGAGCATATGTAAACTTATTCAAGTGGAAGTAAATGAAAACGAAGTGATATTGCATAACATAGTTAAGATTATGATAGGACCTCAAGTATTGGATATAATATAAACGCAAGGGTGTTATTTCTACATAATCAAAGTTTCCAAGTATTGAATAAAAAGGGTTTGTAGCTTTCTTCTAAACTGAAATAACGCCGTAATGTTGTTTACAATATCGTAATTTTGATTGGAACGAACAGTAGCCCATGCTAATACAAGGACAGATGTTATTAGATTTTGAAAGATCGAATGTTACACAACAGCCTGGGTTCGAATCTCGCTAGGCGGGATCGTGTATGCACACTTCTGAGGAGTCCCACAATAGGATAAAACGGCCGTCCACTGCTTCCAGGTTTTCCATGGTAGTCTAGCTTCAATTGACTCTTGATTTCAACTATATAGAAATTATGGTCATTGGTAATAATAACTCAATAAATGAATTGATTATTATTTTTGGATAATTGTTCATCATAAAAATTTCTCAATCGAATAATCATTGATTAGAAGTAGTCGACAGGAAACGGTGGTTTGTTTGAGTTCTATGTTGTTAAATACATAATTGCAGTCACGAGGGATTTGATTCTCTTTGTGGTATTCGAAACTGTATGATTCAGAAGGGTTTTTCTTGTCTATATTATAATAATTTTAATAGTTGAGATCATGAGTCAATTGAAGTTAGACCACCATGGAAAATCTGGAAGCAGTAGACGGCCCACAATAGGCCAAAACGGCTGTATGATTCAATTTTATAATTTAGAACTTCAACATTGAGCTGTTTGGAATACGACCGACCTCTTGAAAAACTGAAACTACTCCAAGTCACTTAACATGTCAACATAGTGTATGTGATATTGAGTTTTCTAGAGTAATGACCACATTACAATTTGTTTGATAAAATTCGATAAGCGCTGAAGGATTAAGTAAGTGGTGTGAATTACTTTTCAATGATTATTCAACTGTAAACATTTTGTGTTTCTTCGTTTACGACTGTTACACAGTTCCTATTTAAGACTTCAAATGGTAACTAGTAACTGAAAGAAAACTATCAAAGATTATGCTTACTTACTTACTTACGCCTGTTACCCCTCGTCGAGGAGCATAGGCCGCTCACCAGCATTCTCCATCCAACTCTGTCCTGAGCCTTCCTTTCCAGTTCTTTCCAGTTCACATTCATCCTTTTCATATCGGCTTCTATTTCCCGGCGTAGTGTGTTCTTTGGCCTTCCTCTCTTCCGCTTCAAAGATTATGCTTAAACATTAAATTGTGTTTCATCAGTTTCGGGATATATTTCTTTATTGATGCACATCGATTATGAATCAATTGAAGCTAGACCACCATGGAAAACCTGGAAGCATTGGATGGTCCTTTCGTATTATTGTGAGACTCCTCAGCAGTGCGCATCCACGATCCCACCTCACGAGATTTGAACCCAGGACCTATCAATTTCGTGCGCATTTTGTATGCACTTTGTGATCAATAACAGTTCTTCAAAATCAAAAGACAAGTACTAAGAACAGGGAAATGATCATGGTTTTGTAGGATTCATAGTGTTTATGACAATTTGTTAGTTCATTTTATTCTAAAACCCACTCATTTATATCAGAATGAGATTACTTATTCTTTAACCCCCCTTTTTTAAAAATTTGTAGAGATATTCAGTGACTATTGTCGTTGGTAAATAACTGTGATTTGATTTTATAAATACTAATACAGTTAAGATAATCAAGTACTTTGCTGAAATGTTTCTATATAAGTATGGAAAGTAGAAGCAACTGAAGTTTAATACATATATATAACATATCATTCTCATTGAATTTGATTCTGAGCCATGTCCGATAACGTCTGAAGTAATCCAAATATGATAAATTTATAAACATTCTGTGAAAGAAAGGATCACGTTTCATAAGTATAAATAAGAATTTCCTTTATGGATGCATTTTATATCCGATCATTTACAGCCAGACTATTATCATGATGGAGTGAAAAGTGTTCTACTAACCATAATCCGCAATAGTTTTCATTATAGATAGACTGATCTCAATTGACAAACCATTACAATCGTCACATAACTATCTAAATATACGGACGAACGGTTCTTTAACCTGGAAATATAGGGTTTTAAACTACCGAATCTTAATCACTTAGTTAGTTATAATTTTCTAACAGAGTATCAATCGCTGCAGAAAATAACTTCGAAAGAACGTGAAAATTCAATTAAAATCTCCGGAATGCTGCTCACCTACATAACAGTAATATATAATATCAACGTAACATGGTCACAGATACAATAGGGGCAACTTTTATGAGCGAATTTCGTAGATTTAAATAAGAAAAAAGTATCATACACAATCTGAATGCACAATTTCATTCAAATAGAAACAGAAAGTGGTAAGACTAATTAAATGCCATTTTTATGGACAAGTTTTTGGCGGCATTACAAATCTAGTCTTAAGTAAGAAAATAATAAGATCTACAGCTCGAACCTACTAGCCATTACTTGCTTACTTACACCTGTTACCCCTCATCGTAGAGGATCATAAGCCACCCAGCAGCACTCTCAATCTAACACTGTCCTGTGAAGTTCTTTTCAGTTACTATTCATCTTTTTCATGTCTAACTCCCATTCTCAACGCAGTGTGTTCTTTGGCCTTCCATTTTTCCGTTCCCCTTCAGGACTCCAAGTCAGCGCTTGCCTCGTGATTGAATTTGATGATTTCCCAAATGTATGCCCTATTTACTTCCAAAGGTTTTTCCTGATTTCCTCTTCAGATTGAAGCTGGTTTCTTCTCTCCCATAGTAGGCTATTGCTGGTGTTATTCAGTCAACAACGGACGTTGAGTATCTTGTGTAAACAATTTTTTATAAATACTTTACCACTTTCGTGGCGGTTGCAGTAGTTCTCAAAGTTTCAGCGCCATACAATAGAACTATTTTGACGTTCGTACTAAAGATTATGACTTTGATATTGGTTGATGATCGTTTTGATTTCTATATGTTGTTCAACTGTAAGAATGTGGTCATTTCTTTGCCAATCCTCTACTTTACGTCTCCATCCGACCCTCCTTGTTCATCGATGACGTTTATCAGATACGTGGATATTTCCACTTTTTTTAGAGTTTCGTCATCAAGTTTGATTGGGTTGTTTGGTGTTCTCTGTATTGTATTTGAGTATTCCTGTTTTTCCTTTGTATAAGTTGAAGTCTACTGATGCAAAGGATGCTTCTAAACTGTTTTTCTTGACCTCTATTTGTTGGTATGTATGTAAAAGAAGGACTAAATCATCTGAGAAGTCCAAATCAACTACTTGCATGCAAGCTGTCCATTTTATTCCGTACTTCCTCTCAGATGTCAAAGTCTTCATAATCCAATCATCCAAATAGAAGAAAGAGAAAGGATAAGACTAAAAACCTTCTAGAATTCAAGACTGAACACGAGGACATTTAGATCTTCCGTATAACACTCTCTCAGATAGCTTATTTAAACGCAACTGTCTATTATAATCTAATAATATTTTAATAAGACATACTATCAATCTTTCATGTTCAATTATATATATTTATCCAATCAGAATTCAGTTTAATACAAATAATTTGATTGGTTGAAATGAACTTGATATTATTGATTAAATTATTTAACCAATAATATTTATCGATTTATTACCGGTAATTATAAATTGTGCGGTGTTATGCAAAAAAATAAATTTAAAAAAAAAAACAAAATTACAGATTGTTTATTCAAACAATGGATCCACTTTTCTTTCTTATTGTATATACATCAATCTTCAAATTTTAATCAAAACTTGAATATAACCCCCATCCCATCATTCTTATTCAATATCCATAATGAAAGATTTTGAATTAGATAAATATTCTAATGGATTAGTATCAAATCGTAAATCATTAATAAGATCAAATTATAAAATGTCTTCATTATGTAATTCATCTGAAAAACGATACAATGTTCCAGTACCAGGTAGTAATCCTAATCCTAATAATAATAATAAAGATAATGATAATGGGAATTTGAATACATTATCTCATATGAAATTACCAGAACAACGTAATTTCACCATATCCACAATTTCATTAATTGTAAATGTACCAAGTCTTTCATATGTAAGTGAATATATAGATGATGATGATGATGATGATGAAGATTTAACAGATAATTTAATGTATAAATTAGACTTAAATAATCAACAAAATCAAATATGTCCAATATGTAATACAATTTGTATAGAATTAAAACAACAATTTGATGATTTACAATTAAAACGATCTTTTAGTTTATCTTCTATTCATGATACTACTTATAATGATACTACTAATACTACTACTACTAATAATAATAATAATAGTAATATAACTAGACCAAGATTATGGGATATACTTGAATCATTTACAATGAATTCATCTAATAAATTTTGTCAATTTCATAAATATTTAAGTGTATATTATAATAAAATTGTATCAATTACTCGTAATACTACTAATACTACTACTAATAATAATAATTGTAGTAGTAGTAGTAGTAATAATAATATGGGTTCGAACTTAACCAATTCACTTAGTCTACCATGTTTATCTAATATAAATGAAGAATTAATGATATCAACAATATATAATGAAAATGATATCTTGCATAGCAACAACAATGATGTGATTTATAATAGAAAGACTGAAAAGACTCCATCTATTTCAATAGAATATATTGAAGATAATGAAAATCTATTTATTAGTTTAAATAATTCACAAGAACAATTAATAAATCAGAAATTATCTGATGAAACTAAAAATAAATGTGAAACATGGTTAAAAACATGTTAATTTATTGATCTATATTTGCTTATTTACTTTCTTTCATTATTCAATTGACAATACATCAGCAGTACATTAAAAAAAAAAAAAAAAACATCATAGCAACAACAATACCAGATATTTATACAAGTGAATACTAATCAGAATCAGTTAACTTGATCCTTCTTGAATGTCATAACTATTAATTGTTTATATATTACCTAGTAACAAATAACTTCTTCGTCGATCATTTGTCAATGAATCAACATTAATACATATAGATCGTGAGTATATGTAAACAAACTTACATCTGGATTTACATTGTCATACACATCTAACATCACGCATACTACTTCTACTTCAAGTAATTCATAAGAATTATTTAGTGAAACTAAAAGTAAGTGTGAATTATGATTAATGTAAACTAAATTTGTACCTACTTATCATAAACTTTTGAAGAAAAAAAAGAAAAAAAAATTGGAAACTGGATTACATAATTTGTAATTTATAAAATTCTTTATGTCATCATCAGTTTCATCATTATGTTAAATAGTGTTTTCTTCATTACTGTACTTTTCCCTCTCTTTCACCCTACCTCTCTCTGTCTCTCATAAACATACATACATGCATACATACATACATAGTTACTCGATCTTCCTGCCTTTTTTCATTGTATGTTCTCTTTATTTGAATTACTTTTATTATGAATGTTTAATTTGTATCATTGTTGTTATGAATGTTGTAATCAGTTGTGGTGATTATGAATGTCATTATTTCCATATCCCTCTTTTTCTCTCCCTCTCTGTTTGTGAATTTTCATTCTTGTAAACTCAGAAATTTTTCGTTGATAACTGAGTTATTTGCTTATTTCAATTGTATTTTTGTGTAACAGGCTTTGATAATGATGCTGTAGTATCTATGATTCGAATTACAATGTCCAATAATAATAATAATAATAGTGTTCTTGTTGATTGAAAGAATAATAAAGGAAAAACGATATATTGATCATAGTATATATTAACTTATATAATGAGGAGAGGCTGCTCTCCCTCTACAAATGCTTTCACATGTGCCACGCGTATATAGCCCCTATCATGGAAGTCCTACTCACTGCCTTCTCGTGGCACTACTGTTGTTTACGAAATTGAGAGGATGAAAAGCGAATGTCCAACGCTTTAACCGGGTTGGTGAACACAATGAGTCCACCTAGGGGAGTTGGAAAACTCTGATTCCAAATCAATGATGTACATGGAACCCAGTATCCTGAGGGAACAAATGGCGTATGAATCAATCGTTGGTCACCGGCTACCATGGGACTGCATCTCCTCACGATACTCCACTGCCTTGTTGATCAAACCTTTAGCTCAAAGGCTCCGGTTGTGGCTCCCTAAGAAAATCACTTGCTTCAGTTTGAGTACCTGAGCAGTATCACAGTCCTCACACAAATCCAATGAGATTTGTGCGGCGCATATATATCTAGTGCCCACTTGTACCAACATTTATATGTTTAAATAAATAATAATAATCTTAATGATTGTATAATAAATTAATCAATAAAGGTTTCATCCTTACAAAATCTTGAACCATGTACGATATTGGTTAATGATCGTTAATGTAAATACAAGAACAATTAATATCAATTTTATATAATATATACTAACCTTATAGTGAACAAAATACAAATGGGGACAATCGAATGTATTTGACACGGAAATTATCGACTATCTCAGTAAAATCTAACAACCATACAAGTAAACAGTTAATTTACAAACTATTAATCATTGATCTCAATCTTGATCATTCCTTCTGTAAATATCAGTTCATTGTCTCCGTTTATTATTATTCATACATTTTCATACCAATAACTTTTCGTTTTCATTATTTTCTTATCGATCTTCTAGTGAAATACATTTCATCCTCGATCATCGTTATATACTACTTATGTGGATATAAGTAGCCCACACCACAATATTATAAAGTGTCAAAATCCTGTTACAGTGTATAGTTCAACTACGTATATTGATTATTCCTAATATGTAGTAGTAATATAGATTCACAACTAACGCGTTTCTTTTCACATAACTATTTTATATAGTTGTACTAAGAAAAATTCAATTACATAGATTTAAAGTCATAATGACAGAGTAATGTGAGTTTAGCTGAAAAACTTCTTCAGTATAAATGTGGTGTTGTCTACTTATATCCATATAAGTAGTATATGGCGTGGGTCAGACATAGAATGTATTTTGGCAGAAGACCGATGAGGAAAGAACTGAAATGAAGCGCAATCGTTTGGAAAATGCATGAGCAATGGAATTAGAGAAGAAACAGTGAAGATTGAAACAATTGGTTATTAATTTGCAAATTGACTGTTCATTGTTTGGTTATCAGAATTTACCGAGATAGTCTGTAATGTTTGCTTAAATACATTCGATTGTCCCCAACCAGTGTTCTGTTCACTACATAAAGACATCAACAGATGAATACTTTTACCATTATTTCTTCCATTTAAAATCATATAAACATTGAAGTAAGTAACCTTAGAATGTCATAAATCTTATTAGAATTTGACAAACATTTTTTATGAAATTTATTTATAATCTATGATTTTCTTTGTAAGCAAAGATGGATAGTGGTTAGCAATGGAATCCAATTTGACGCGCATTTCGTCCTATTTGAGATTGGTCAGATGGATGTGGCTGTATCTCAGAGTTGATGTTCACTCTCGCACTCGAACCCAATATCATTCGCTTCAAACGCCATTACGTTATCCACTCGGCCACTGATTTTCTTTTCTAGTTAATGACTGATTACTTTCATAACTTATTTATGGATTGATTAGGAATTAGTTTTATGTTCTAAAAGTTATATTAATAATTTATGTAGCTATCCTCTTATTACTTCAATTTTATCAAATAAACTCGATAAATTCTAGTCCTAACCTCTCAAATGTTAATTTCCATAAGTTATACTTTTTAAAGAGTTTCTATTTTTGATTAAAAACGCCAATCGATCAATGTTAAACCATCAGTGGATGACCACTTCATCTTAATATTGGACTCCCAAGCAATGTTCAACCACAATCTCTCACTCAGGACCTTCGATGTTATTATTATTAGCTTTATTCAATATTATATTTTTTGGTAAAAAAATCGAATTCTCAGCACAAAGTATTTCAACAACTTTCTGTTTCTTACTTCTTCGTCGATCCTGACGAAAAATATTCGGTGAAGTCATCAACCCAGTCAATCGACATCTGAATAATCTACATTCTTTTCGCTGCATATTCCCAGAAAACACGATATATCTGATTAGGCCTTTTGTAAGCTTTACAGCGAAAGGTTGTACACCTTTCAGAAACTTACCGGAATAGGCTGTATGATTAATAGCTATGTATCAAAACAAACAAAATTAAATAACTTGTTGAAGTATCTAGACGGCTGGAACAGGTAGCCAAGATGCTCAAGAAGGCCATCTATCGTTTTCTACTATTAGATAAAATAAACTATCGGTTTTGTATTAATATTTTCGGTATAAACGTCAGCTGTTTCTATTCGTTTTGAAACTTTTGATTAGTTATTAACTATAAGTCTATATATATGGTATGTAACCCGAAATCTTTAAATCTTTTTGTCAAGAACTATACTATTCAACAACTAAGTTGAATATGAATACTCTACATATTGAATCTCAATCAGTTTATAACTCGAAGAGATCGTTAACTTTCAAATTCAATAATCTACATTTACTTTTATCTTATTGGTTAGTTCTGTAGATTATGAGTTCATGATGAGAAACTTTCAGATTATCTATGAAGTAGTGATGACTAAAAATATGTTTATGATCCATTAAGGTTTTAGACAAAAGTAATTACCAGCGGAGTTTGACCGTTTCTGTTGTGAGATATTAACTCATGGAAGAAAATAGTGGACAGTGGCACAATTTCATGAATTGGTTAAAGCTAGAGATTAACATTATTGGATGCCGGCTCAATGGTCTACAGGTTAAGCGTTCACACGCGAGACCGAGTCTATAGGATGAGATCATGAATGTACACTGTTGAGGAGTCTCACAATAGGACGAAACGGCCATTCAGTGCTACCAGGTTTCCCATAAGACTCATGGGAACTCAACCGTCAAATTACCTTATTATCCACAAAACTCCTTTCAGATAAAAGTTTAAAGAAAAAAATACTTTCATTAGACAACCACATTCATTCAGACCAGGGTAATATAAATTATATTGATCAGCATAGTATACTATCATCATATGTTCTGTTTTCATCAATCAGTCAGATGATAGTTCGTAATTTTATATATATGATTAAGTGTATTTCAGGTATGCCTTATACTAAATATAACAATTTGATTTACTACTTTAATGACCTTATTGAATGAATATGGCTGTAATATGGAACTAAATGTGTAAAAGCAGAGATGGATAGTGGCTAGCAGTGGAATCCAGTTTGACGCGCGTTTCGTCCTACTTGGGACTCGTCAGCTGGATGTACCTGCATCTCAGAGTTGATGTTCACTCTGGGACTCGAACCCAGTACCCTCGCTTCAAACGCCATCGCGTTATTCACTCGGCCACTGAGTCCTGATAGCCACTTTCTTGCGCGATGGGGTGAAGTTTGAATTCACTTAGTATTGTTTGTTTGGATCTTCCCATCGATGTGTTTAGGACTGCAACTGGTCAGTCTCTAGTTGGAATGTGTGAAATGTGTAAAACATTCATCCTATTGATAAATGATTTATCAACTTATAAAGAAACTATTCGTGTAAAGTATATTTACCTTGAAATATTGATATACTCTTAGTTAATTATCGATTTTTATTATCAGAGAGGGTTTTGTGGAGATTTAGTATTTTCATAGTTGAAAGCATTAGTCAATTGAAGCGAGACTACCAGGGTAAACTTGGAAGCGCTGGACGGCCGTTTCGTCCTATTATGAGACTTCTTAGCAGTGCGCATCCACGACCTAGTCTCATTCCAAGGAACTTAACTTCAAGGATTGGTTGCAGTTAGA